ATATAAATTTATTAAAAGCATTGGGTGAACTAAACCCCGACAATCCATGAGGAAAATGGCCGAAAAACGGCCATTATATTGGTGATGAAGGAGATTTTCTTCTCCCTCATCTCATTCATCTTCAACAAAATATCATCCAATCAGATTAACCAGGTACCACGTGAGAGGTGGTACCTGGTTAAACAAAGAGAACTGGTTGTAAGACCAGTTTTGTTACACATGTTTCCCCATGTTTCCAATATCAATTCCAATTCTTTTTTCTTTTCAAATTCTAATCACAATCATTTGGCTTTTTTTCTTTTTAGGTTCATGAGCCAATTGAACAGATCACTTCAAATGAAGTCCAGAAAACTGGATCAATTATCGATGAAGCTGATGTATCTATTTCTGATCAAACTACTCTAATTGCTGACGCTCAAATTTCCGAGAATGATTCAGAAACTGAAGCCAGTTCATCTCTCACTGCTCAGATCGGAAATTTGAATGTTCGAGATAGTCAACAGGCCAATGAATCAACCATTAACAACAATGGAGAGTCTCCAGGAGGGAGGTAATACAATCTTCCCCATGTTTCCCCATGTTGCATTTTTTTAAACTTTTTTTTCTCTTTCAGGAACCAATAGTTATTTCCAGAAAGAGACGATCGCAGAGATTGGAAGATCAGAGCCTTAACAAAGTCAAGGTAAGTTTATATTTATTAGTTCTTTATTTACATCTAATCATGTTTCCATTCTCTCCTTTTCTTTCAATTTCTTTAGAAAGTTTATCATGATGACATATTCTGGGATGTGGAGCCCGTCTCATACAATCCCAACACTATTGAATATCGATTGAAATGTGAGTGGTATGAAAAAGCAGAAAACTGTATGTTTTCTGAAACAGAAAACATACCCCTCGAGGATGTGAGAACTGAAGGAATTCAAACAGTGGAGCGCGCGAAAGAGGAGACAATGGAGCTGCTTCGTGAAGCTATAAGGGGTGAAAAAGTATATAAGTGTACGTATTGTAAATATATGTGCAACCCTGGTGGTCGATCAAATATGATGAACCATTTAAATGGATGCACTCGTAACGGAGTGAAGATTCCACTGAGCTGCTCAATAAGGAGGACCAAAGCTGCAGCTGATCCAATCACTAAGAATTGGCAAAAACTCCAACCGACTTATGTACCTTCCGAATCTTTATAAACTTTCTTTTATACTTTTATATATCCAGTATTCTATATTTCGAATACATTTTAAATTGTCCCAATGTTTCCCCATCTTTCAAAAATGCATTAGTTAATCAAATAAATCGTCTTGGGAACATACAAACTTTTGCGTTTCTTTCCTTAGGTAAACATATTTTTCATCTTTATTTACATGATGCAACCTACCTAACTCATGAACAATTACTCTGAACAAAACTGTAATGCCTCGAGGGTAACCACCTAATAGATGCCTCGGCTCAAGAAGGATCGTACTGATCAACCAAGAGTCAACCTAGTAATTTCTGATAAAAAACGTCTTGACTATCGACAAAAAGACAGAAAAGATCATCCGATTTTTTGGAAAAGTATTGGCATTCGATCTCATCTACTCGATCTCAATGTTTTGGATAAACTTTAAACCCTATTTGACCAATAGATGACCCAAAGAAGACTTTGTCCATCGATACTGAAGGTCTCTCCAAGGATGGAAAGGCTCAATTAGTTGTTCTCGCTGTTTGGTTCTCCAGTGCTTCCTTAGGTGCTCAAGTTATTTATAGCGATTGCGTTAAAAACGATGATGTTAATACCCTCTCAACTCCAATATCAAGTGTCCAAGCCCAACAAATAAAAAATGGTAGACCTCTGGAGGAGATTGAAAAGAACATTCTACTCGCATGCTTTGATAAAAGGGTGTTGATCTTCGATTCAAATGATAAGGAACTATTGAAATCACATCGACAGATTTAAAGGAATGGAAAATTGAGGTGGTAAGTGTCCAACACCGGGTTGGAGGTTCGGCGCTATTGAAATCGGTCAAGTTCTATTTTCCATCTTTGCAAGGATTACAAAGAGATGGAGATATCGAAAGTACTTGAACTTCAAGAAAGAAAATGAATTGATTCCTGAACCTGACGAAGTTTCTTCATTCGTAAAGAGGAATAAAAACTGCGAAGATTGGGAGGAAGAGAACAAGTTTCGACAATTATTAACTTTACCTTGTTCATCATCATCATCCTGGTCTTCTCAAGATCGAGGATCGTCATCTTCTTCTACAATTACCTTACCACGAAATTCCAATCAAGTTAAAGCAACATCAAAACTCGTGAATTAAGTCGGTACAAGAAAGAGAAAAAGGAAATCCAATAAAAGTTTCAAATTACCACCGATGAAAGAGCCATCTGCAGGTGATTGGAATGCACCTTTACCATTCACAGCGACTGCTCAGAAATAAACTGACGGAAATGTAGTGATGGGAATTTTTTTAACCTCATTGATTAGATAATGAATATTACAGAAAAACAAAACACTTACGTTTTATCTGTAATCTTGTAACCAAGGTACCTAAATGCTTATCCTTCATGATTAACTAATTAAAGTAGATTCATTAGCTAAGAACTTACTCTTAGACCAAAAGTAACAATTAAAAAGTGTTTAAAGAATTTATTTGTGATTGGAAATTGACCAACAATCGATCTTATCTATATTCATCGAAAGACAGAGATAAAGGTAAGAGAAAGAGAAAAGTTTTGCAAAAAATCGATAAAAATCTTCAAGAACTCCATATGGCAAAAGTAGAGAGAAGAATAATCGATATTGTCTTTACTTATATCGATAAAAAATGACAACGAAATACCGATATCGATAGTATCGCCCCCTGTACAAAAACATTTTATGCATACTTTATTTTATTCGATTTTCACTAAAGTTGTACATCATCTTGGATCTATGACCTTAGAGAGATTTAAAGTTGATCATTAAAAAAGCGACATTACTTGTATGGATATTCAATATTTCTGAGTTTTTTCAAGCTTCAACAAAGAGTATTTTTCAAATATTGTATTTTCGAGTGTCGATATTGTCTCGTTAACTGCAAAATAAAGCTCTTCTGCTTGACCATGACACTGATATAAAATACCTGATTCATGAAGTCGTCTCGCATCATTTGCACAGTATCCGAGCTGATAAGACCATTGAGCACAAAAATACATGTCGTCCAAAGACAAATCAAAGAACCATGCATGAACTTCTGTTTGTGTGTTGACGCATGGTAATACTGATCTTAAACGATTGGCTGACATATCTTGAATCATAGCTGCTAATTTGTTTGGCCTTTCTGTAAGGGATAGCATCTGGGTGACAATTTCTTCTTGGAAATCTTTATCAGAAACAAGTCTTGGAAAGTAAGCGTTGAGTTGAGCACCACATACATGTTTTATAAAAATCTTTTGTATCTTCATAAGGTTCAGGAAAAGATGCAGTAAAAACCTGTTTAAAAAGGAGCTCTCATTAGCTGATCCAAAATAGCAAAAAGTGGCGAAAAGGCCACGAAGAAAAACAGAGCCACGAGAGATATGGCTAAAGCCATAGAGATGTTTACAAAGCCACCGCTCATTATAACAAAGAGACGGCAGTTAAAGTTAAAAAGGACCGTAAAAAGGCACGAGAGGCTAAGAAGAAAGCTATAGTTGCCTTTTCTGAAGCCCAAGAAATTGCATCTGTAGCTGAATCAATGGCTGGAAAAGCAATTTCCCAGCCTTTGAGAACGTAGAAAGACCTTCTCAAAAGACTTTACTAGTAGTCTTTTATGTAAATATTGTAAATATAACCCATATGCGAAGCAGCTTTTTTAGTACCCTATGTGGGGATAAAATCCATCTCCTCCTCGTGTTACTGGATCTTGCCAACGGAGCTCTGGTGTGTGAGTAGCTCATAGTAAATCAGATTCAAAATCTTCTCAGTCAATAGAAAGAATAATTGCTTGTTATTTTCGTTCATTTTCAACAAAAATTCAACTTTTTAATATTTTGAATTGACAATTAATACTAGTTACGCTTAATTGCATTTTCCTATTAGAGATGGGCAATTGTTTAGATTTACGGTGATCGATGATGATGCAAGTATTTTGCAGAAAATCGATATATATCGATGTTTTTTGCTGTCTTAGAGAAAGAGAAAAAGAAAGAGACGTAAGACAGAGAAAGAGAAAAGGGAAACGATTCTGTGGAAGAGCTTTGAAAAAAAGAATTCGCTCATAAAACGTAAGAGAAAAGGCGAGAGAAAAATAATCGATAATCAGCTTTCAAAATCGATGTATGAAACAGTTACAAATAATTGATGATCATCGATGATTTTGATATAATCGTCCATCTCTATTTCCTATGTATCTTTCACATTTGAAGTCCGATCAGAGAAATTTTTTCATTGACATCAGCATAAAAAGTTGTCTAAGAAAAAATTAACAAAAAAATTTTCTTCATGGGCATTTTTTGGTTTGCCCCTTAATAAGATACAAAATCTTTCAATACATGAACGTGTATGCAGATAGTACCAATCAAACTGATAATCAGAGGCTAATTCGTTAATGGTTGTTTATTTAAAAATGTTTAATTAATTAATACTGTGGTTTTTTGGAAATATTCATTGAATTTATAAACTCAGTTTATATGAAATTAACTCAACCGATTTATTATTTAAATGGTCAAGAAATCAATTAAATCACTACAGCAACTTGCAAATTGATTGTTAAGTTATTGACTGAAAATTTTGATTATTTAATTGTCACCGATAAGTTTCTAAGTGTTAATTTTTTTCTACCAATGAAAGTATTTGATTTTAATCTCTCCATTGAAAACATTTCAAGGAGAGTAAAATGTAATATTAATCTAATTGTTTTATCCATTTATTAAAACTGATTACAATTTAACATCATTAATTTAACTACAATCAAGAGTCACAATTGTTGATTTTGGTTTTTCATCGTTTAGCTAATCTTGATCACCTTGAACAATTTAATGTTGTCTAACAATTACACTTGAAAAGTTGGAGGCTCTTACAATCAACTATTATCATCATAATTAACTATTAATTCAACTTATAAGTAGCAACAATCAGCCATTGATTAACATCCCACCAACAAAATCGAACAGTTAATCATTATTAATAAAACCAATCGATTGAGCAGCTCAACTAACAATTTAAATCTTTATCCGTGTGTTTATGTTGACTATTTTAAGTTTACATTCTCTGTCCAATTCAACTAATTGTGATTAGAAAATGAGTAATTTAATTAATTTCTCATACTTTGTTCATCGTTACCGAACTCGTAAACAGTTAAAGTCAACTAAATCACGATTTAATCGTGATCTCGAAAACTTAAATAACCCATTTGCGAATGGTGTCTGTGATAGACCTCAGGATTATCTGTATGAAAGACCATCAAAGGTAAATTTAATTCAATTCAATTCTAATTAAATTGTTTGGCTTGATTTTCCTGAAATAATTTCGATCCAAAAAATTTTAAACACAATTCTCAAGTCCAATGACTATTTGTAATCTCATCCAGTTGATTCAATTGATTTGATTCATCACCATTGTTTACAGAAATTTCCCTAATTGTTCAATAATCAATAATTGATTAACTAATCCATGTGATAAAATAATTGAAAACAGTGATTCTTATGTAATGATAATCAGTTAATTTTGGTGTTAACTTTTCCCCCTTTAAATGTAGACTGACATTGAAAATATATTTCTTTACGCTGCCAACAATGATAATCAATGGATAACAATTAACTTGCATTGGAATCCAATTGCTGATGAAAATTGTGGACTAATCAAAGTTAATTTTAAATTGTTTGGCTTTAATGGTGATGAAACAATTTACGAATATAAAAGATCTGAAAGGATTTACAATCTAAATGATTACAATGATTATTTAATTGGTGGGTTTAGATTGGAAATTTTTTCACCAATCAAACGGATTAAGATCCGTTTAAATGATTTTTGTACTTTTAAGTCAACAATTAACGATGATAATCAACAATCAATTGATTATAAATTTGTTCGTTGCATTGGGATCATTTTACCAGTCCAACAAATTTTTGATAATCTACAACAATTTGATTCTAAATTTATATCAAGCCAATTAACTTCTCAATCACAATCATTTCCATTGACTGATTTAACTGATATTGGTTCACATATTAAATTGTTGGTATCAATTGATCAACAATCAACAGTAGAAACTAATCTATGGGGATTAAGGAGTAAATTAAGATTTAATCAACACGATAATTACAAGAATTGTCAAATGATTAAGTTTTCTGGATACGCGATTAAGGTAAATACATTTATACATTTACTTTACAATAGAGTTAATTGTTTGCTTTCTCTGATTGCTAATTCTTAATTTTGATTATTCACAGAAAGGTTATAACTTCTCAATCACTTTAATCAAATCAAATGATCGTTGGTTTATCAATGGTTTTTCCAATTGGGGTATTACATTGGTGTTCCCAATTGTGATTGCAACTAACTCTCAACAATTAATTGATGGAGACGAGAAAATTAATCTTATCCTCGGAAACAAATATCGCTTATTCAATGTAATTGGTAATCAAATTATCAACAGTCAATCATTTTACTCGATCACAATTGATGGCTGTCCAGGGATCGGTCATTATATTAGATTGCCGTTTACTGGAAACGAAAGTGACTTTGATTGTAAAATAGTTGATTGTGGTCCACTAATTGGTGCGATTCCTTCATTTTCATCATCACCAGCTGATCCAATTGTTGTTAACTTAGATCAACCATTAGCAATTAACTCAAAATTAACTGGTGGTAAAGGTAGTTCATTAGCCAAATTAACATCAATTTTAATTGGTAATCAAAAGTTAGGAAAAGTACCTTCAGGTATTGTTGTGACAACAAAAGCTTACCAATTAATGTCACAATCAATTGGAATACAAAGTTACATCGATCAACTTAATCAAACATTAAGTGATAGGTAAGTGTCTTGATTGTCCTTAATTGTAAAATCTATTACAATAACAATAATTTATATCGATCTAATCTAATTTTTATCTGTTTACCTTCAGAAAACAAGATGAAAGTAAATTGCAAATTGATTGTGATTCAATTGTCAACTCAATCGGTTCCAATGATCTTCCAGAAACAATCAAACAATCAATTTTGAGCTCATTAAATCAACTATTTGATGACAATTGGATTAATAACAAAAAATTAGCAATCAGATCTTCGGCTTTCGGTGAAGATTCAACTGAATTATCATGTGCCGGTCAAATGGAAACTTTTCTTGGTATATCAACATTAGAAGAGGTAAACTGGTTTAATTGATTGATTTAATTGCGATTCTAATTTTAGAATCATTTGATTAACTGGTTTTCTTAACTCTTTGTAAAGGTTTATCAATGTGTAATGAAGTGTTGGGCCTCACAATTTAGATTCATAGCAATTAATTATAAATTACTCAATGGACTTGAATTGAATCTTCCAATGGCTGTGGTAATTCAAGAAATGATTGATTGTGATCAAGCGGGTGTTTTATTTACTTGTGATCCGATTACAGGTAATCAATTAACAGCTTTAATTACCGCTAATTATGGTCTCGGCGAGGTAAATTAATTTACACACTAAATTACAATTTCACAAACTAATCGTTACTATTTTATAATAATGACAATAATAGAGTATCGTCTCATCAAAATCTGATCCTGATACAATTAGAGTCAAATTGGAAATGTCTTCAAATGGATTAACAATTAACACAATTGAAAATATTGAAATTGGTGCTAAAGAGCAGATAATTAAACTTAATCCATCGGGTGACGGGACAATCACAATTGACTCACAATTAAGTGAATCAATTTGTTGTCTCAATGAGAATCAAATAATCAACTTAACCTCAACATGTTTAAAGGTATAATTGTTTATAATTAAGAAGAAAAAGTTAATTGTTAACAATGTAACTATTTTTAATTTCTTTTTTGGTCAATCAAAAAGTTTGCATCTTATTTCAATGGTCCAGTTGATATCGAATGGGGATTAAGATCAGATGAAATTTACTTGTTCCAATGCCGACCAGTGACCAGCTCATCTTCAAGTGAATTAACTGATTGGGAATTAAGTCATGAAATCGATTCGGCTCATGTTAGCTCTAATGAGTACCACACTCGAGCCAATTTAGGCGAAGTCTACCCCGGAACTACCTCATACATTTGCCATGATTATCAAATGCCCTCATCATCCCTTCCTTATGTGGTGAGTAGTTAATTGTTGTTGAAATAATTCAAGAATTATATTAACTTTTATCTCTATTGAATTTTTGGTAGAAAAAATTTTTTTCGAACATGAAAGAGTTTTGTTTTATTCCCTATGTTGCCCGCGGGCTTGTCTTCAATCAGCATCATTGCTTTTTCTCTCTTAAAGATGTAAGTATATTTGAAATTTTATTCCACACAGTTAATGATCTAATTGTTGATAAATTAATTAGGGTATAATGTTTAGTTACGATACTCCACCGGAAAAGGAAAACATCATCTCTACCTCAATGGAATACGCGCTTTTGGGACAGAAGATTGATGATTACGATATGAAGGCTGATTCATATGAAAGAATATCACAATTAATTGGAGAATCTAAGTTAACTAAATTAAAATCAACTCTTGATCTTGTCTTCATGGGACCAAGAAGATTAAGGAAAATTAAACTAAATCAGTTCCAATCTAAAGTTGACCAGAATTCAACCAGTTATCAAATGTTAAACGAGATTTTATTCAATTCAGATTATATTTGGGATGTAAGTCCAATTGTCGAATACATTTAGAGGTTAATTGTTCTAATTTCTCTAATTGTATTAGATTTTTGTAGCTCATCTTAGTGTGACCATTGGATCGTCCATCATGAATCTACTTGCGATTTCAATTCTATCAGCCTCAGATAAAAGTAAGAGTTCATATTGAGACTAATTTAAATTGTGATTACGATTTCCAATCATTTTTAATGGTCATTTTTTACTCAGATAGTCCAACAGTTTTAACCGATTTCGCAAAATTGTTGGCCTCATGTGAGCAAGTGGTCAGTGCTCAGATTCCCGTTATCCTCAAGAAATTAGCGTCAAAGGTTAACGATGAAAATGAGATAAACTTGATTACCAATTTAACTGATGAACAAATTGAAGATTACCTTAAAAATGGGACCAGCGAATTAGCAATCAATTATCGACAATTTATCACTGATTATGGTCATCGGGGGTGGAAAGAGTTTGATTGGGCCGGAAAAGTTTGGAGGAAAGATTCATCATTGATAATTAATCCATTGAGAGTAAGTATTTATAAAGTTAACCTTTCGATTGTTTTATTATATTTTCTTGTTTATGTTTAGAGCTTAATTTCCCAACAATTAAACAGTGATGAAAGAAAGCCTGATAAGGTAACAATTAGTGATGATCAAATTATTGATTCGCTTGAAACACCACTATCTAAATCATCACGATTCGCGTTGAAACGATTTGTATTACCTTGGTGTCGTAAATATGTCTCTCTGCGAGAAGAAGGTAAAAACAAATTAGTTTGGAAAATTGATCAGATGCGTAAATTGTTTGATCAAATGGCTGCGAAATTAGCTTATCATGAGCACCGTCTACCCGATCCTAATTTAGCTTATTATCTGACACCCGATGAGTTATTACAATTAACTCAATCATCTAATCCTGGATTAGTTTTATTAGCTAAGAGACGACAAAAAGTCCTCCAAAAATCAGATTCATTTGAATTTCCAATCATTTCAATTGGACCGAAAATGTTACCAAACAATGTAAGTTCTAATCAAGAACATCAAATTATAAAATTAATCAACGCAATTAACTTTATTGTCTTTGTAGTTACCATCGGAAGATGATGATGATGATCAACATTGGACCGATGGTCAAGAAATCACTGGAACACCAGTTAGTCAAGGCAAAATTAAATCAACTGTTATTGTTGCGAGAAACCTTCAAGATGCAACTCAAATTAAGGTAACTAAATTAAATTAAATCTACAATCTAATGAGCTAATGTTTTTTGTTTAATTTAAGTCTGGTGATATATTGATCACTTATTCAACTGATATCGGCTGGAGTCCTTACTTTCCAATAATCGGTGGATTGATTACAGAAATTGGTGGACTAATTAGCCACGGAGCAGTGATTGCTCGTGAATTTGGATTACCCTGTGTAGTTAATGTTAAAAATGCTTGTAAAATATTTAAATCTGGTGATTTGATTTCAATGGATGCAAACAAAGGAGTTATCATGAAATTAACTCAATCAATCAATTGATTTACCTTTGCGACTCTTTTAATCTTTTAACTAATAAATGATTTATTAGTATTTTCTAATCAATACTTGTTAAACTTTCTGTTCAATCTTTGAAATTGATAAGGCAACAATTTATTCAGGTAGTTCCTTGGTAATTGTTTTCTGTTTTCTGGAAATATATATAGTTAATCATTGATTAATAAGTAGATTCTAATTACCGATTAGAATCTTTCTTTTACAAAAAGGTTAAGATTAAAGTAACAGAATTGTGTTGATGAAATAGGGAAAAATAGTTTCAAGAAATTTTCATTAAAAAGCCGCAAATAGTTAATCAGGAGAAAAGGAGTAAAATAATGGTCCCTTAATTGTTTGATTTCTTGATTATGGTAAAAATGGTGTATAAATAAACCGATGTGGGTTGTAGATGGACATTTGACCTGTGCATGTTTATGAGCTTTTCCATCAGATTATTAGGCTTTTATCACAGTAATTTCTTGGATAATGTTTCTTGATTCTAGTTGATTGTTGGCCTGAAATGTTTCCATAATTAGGCAAAGATTGGAATATAATTATCGATCTTGGTCTTGTGTTTCTGTGAAACACATTCGGCAATCCAAATAATGTTTCGTGTTTCCTGTTCTTTCAGCTTTAAATAAGCAAAGAAAACTCCAAAGTGAAATTGCTGCAGGAACGCATTCACGTTAAGTTTAACTTCGTATTCAAAGAATCGATCTTCTAATGATTTCTCTTCATTTCCAGATCCTCCTTCAAATATTTGCTTATAATTAAAATAGAAAGCGGCAACAGCACGAACTTGATCATAATCATCGGCTCTTGCAAGAGCAGCTAAACCATCGGGATTAAGATTTCCACATCGTGGATATAGTTTAACTCGATCTTCTTTTGACAGTTCAGTTCCAAAAGAGTTGATTGTGATTTCAAAAGCACGACGATCAGCTTCAAAAGCTATTAGAATAGAATAGGGGAAAAAAAGAAAAGACAATTTTAATATGTTAATTTCGATAGTGAAAGAGGAGAGTGAAAAGATAATCGAGAGCAATTAAAACAAAAAGATCAGATAATAAACATACCAAGTATCTCACACATGATTTCTCCTGTGGCTCCTCCGATAATGTTTGCACAATAGTCATGGAAATCTTCAAGATATGCCTTATACAGGGTATTTCTTATGATTTCAATGTTCATTTCATCCATATCTTGTTCAGAAAGACAATCAACAAAATAAGGTGCCAATGGTGTATCAACAAGAATAGCATTGTAAAGATCGGCTGGATTATTGGCCACATTAATTGCTTCCATTTGATCAAATTTACCAAGAGGATGACATTTGTCAATCAATTCGGGGATGGGTCGTTGATGGAGTGTACCAGTGATAAGCAAGATAACATTGTCAATCATGTAACCGTAAGTAATATAATCAAGGAAACTTGAAAGAGGTTCACAGGATTGATTTCTTATATGAAGAAATTCAGTGACCAATTTTTCACGTAATTTATCCTCAATAACGGAAACCGACAATGGTAATGGTTCATTGGCCAAGAAACTTCCATAATCAGTACTCTGTAAATGTAACTTGATATCTATAAACATAAACCACCATAGAGAGAGAGAGAGAGACAGAGAATGACAGAGAGAAGAAAAAAAAAGAGGAAGAAAGAGAAAAGAAAAGAAAATAAGGTGAATTAGATTGAGAATGAAAAATCAATTGAGCAAAATGAACAACAATTTTTTCATCAAGTAAACAATCAATTGAAAATATCAACTACTCACCTTCAAGAGTTTCACATTGGACTAAATTCAGGTAATCACTTTGCTTAAGGATTCCACATTTAAAGCCTCTAACAAGACCTTCAAAGTAACCATTGTCAATGTTGAATAATGATGAACCAATCATGGTGAAAATGAAGGAGATAGAAAGAGATAGGAAGAGACAGATATATAATCAAGACAAATAATAGAGAATAGAAAACAATTTAACAAAAATGACTATAAATTCACAGAGAGAATAAAATTAACCTGATTAAGAGGTTACAAGGTGATTAAAGGGAGTAAATGAAATGATCGGCTCAGGGAACGTATGAAAATAAAGAAAACAAGTGTCTCCATCTAACTATCAACAGGTTGATTCGTTCAACGGGAAAGTGTCAATTTAATGATTTACTTTAATTGTTGGTCAGGAAATTTTTTCATTCTTTTAATTGTTACGCATTTTGTTGGCTGTAAGGTAAGTAGATTGTTAGATTAGTTGTTGATTGAGTAAGTGGTGAGAATTTGTTAGTATTTCTACTCAGCCGAGACTTTTGTTGATGTTAGAATAAATTTTTTTCCTTAATCTTTTTCTGTGTTTACTATTTTGATTGATTGGTTATTTCTTAGAGTTTTGATTGTTCTGTTTTGTTAATTGTCTCTGATTTAATTAGGTTAATAGTGAAGTGGAATTTTGGATTGTGTACAATTACTACTTACATTGGGCGGAGAGAAAACTAAAAATGTCCTGTTGTCAATTTTTCACTGATTCTCCTAAACCATTGATTGGACCATCGATTTTAAATTCTAATCTTGCCTCACTTGCTGATGAATGTGAAAAATTATTAAAATTGGGAGCTGATTATCTTCATCTTGATGTTATGGATGGACAATTTGTTCCTAATTTAACCTTTGGTCATCCGGTTGTTAAATGTTTACGATCTCAACTAGGAAGTAAACCTTTTTTTGATATGCATATGATGGTCGCTTCACCGGAGAAATGGATTGAACCAATGGCCGATGCCGGTGCGAATTTATATACTTTCCATCTTGAGGCCACTGGCGATGTTGAAACGATCATCAGGAAAATTAAAGAATCAGGAATGAAAGTTGGAATTGGAATCAAACCGGCTACTTGTGTTGAAAGTGTTCTTCCTTATGTACCTCAAGTTGATATGATTCTTGTGATGACAGTTGAACCAGGATTTGGTGGGCAAAAGTTTATGGAACCAATGATGGAGAAAATTAAATTGCTTAGAGAACAATTTCCAAAATTAAATCTAGAGGTAGATGGAGGTGTTGGCCCTTCAACCATTGAAATTTGTGCGAAATCAGGAGCCAACATGATTGTATCCGGAACAGCAGTAATTAACTCACCCGATCCAGAGAAAGTGATGAACACAATGAGAGAAATAGTCAAATCACACAATTAAAAACCAAAATCAATTCTACCCCAAAAGATAAAACAAATACAGAATCAAGTTTACAATTAATAGTCAACAGACAAAATTAATTATTTTGAATAGAATTTTTGTTTTCCAAACAAAAAAAGAAAACAATATTTCCAAAAAAATGTAAACACAATTACTTTTAAAAGAACATATTCCAAACATTATGATGATCACGCCAATTGTTGGAAAATTTTTAAAAATGGAAAATATTACAAATTAATTGCTAAGAATTAAATTAAGTTGATTGAAAAAATTGAGAATTTTGTTTCCCATTTGAAAAAAGCGGCGCCAGAGTCACGTGACTTTCGAAACTCAGCTGATTCAATCAGCTTGGAATTAATTTTTTGGGTGACAAGCAAAAAGTTTAAATTGTTTTCCATTTGGTTTGATTAATTAATTGTCTTTTTTTCACTTCGATTTAATTGTTAAATAAGATGGCTACTACTCATACACAGTAAGTAAATTGTTAATCTAAACTGTAGTGTTGTTGTTATCTTTTAAGTGACACACTAATTACTAATTTTGATTATTTTGTTTTTTCTTTGTTCCTTTTTAATTTAGACAACCAATTTCAACTGGTAGTTCAGTTGTTGGTGTTTGCTTTGAAGATGGTGTTGTTATAGCGGCTGATAATTTGGTCTCATTTGGTCGAATGGCAAGATTTCGTAATTGTTCACGATTGTATAAGGTTAATGAGACAACAATCGCTGGTTGTGGTGGTGATTATGCTGACTATCAATTTCTATACAATCTAATTGAACAGAAGCAAATTGATAAAGAGGCTAATGAGGAAGGTGTTCATTTAGGACCTCGTGCTTTACATTCATGGTTAACTCGAGTACTTTATAATCGTCGGAATAAATTTGATCCACTTTGGACCACTTGGGCCGTTGGTGGTATCGACGCTGGTAAACCTTTTCTTGGTTATGTTGATAAATTGGGAACCGCTTACAAAGATGATTTGGTTACCATTGGTTTTGGTACTCATCTTGCAGCTCCGGTAATTCGTAAAGCTTTAGAAGAGAAAAATGGTAAACTAACTCGTGATGAGGCCATCGAATTGGTTAAAAAATGTATTTCTCTTCTATTTCTTCGAGATTGTTCCGCTCACAATGTCTATGAAATCGCTGTTGTCGATAAAAAAGGAGCTCAAGTGTTGGGTCCATATCGTGTTGATTCAGATTGGTCTCTAATTTCATCCTTGAGAGATTCATATTAATAATAGAAATCACATTTTTCCGGTGTTTTCAAATTTTCATAATTATAATTTGATTCTAATTGTTGTCATTTTTGATATTATGCTGAGAAGTAAAAAAAAATCAATATGAATAATGAGAAATAAAAACCAAACAAAAGACAGCAAACAAAACCCAAAATACTAATCAAATCAAGTCAATCATTATTCCAATTGTATCAACAATCAAATCCATCATTTATTTTCATCTAATTAATTGTCAACCAACTTGACCTTTATCGTCTTATTGACACTTTGATTATACCGAAGGTTCAGATTTCATCAAGATGAGTTGACAATTAACTCTAACAATCAAGTTTCTCAACCTTTTTCCTTTTGTCAATAAGAACAATTTTTTTGCTGTTTAATTGTGTTTGTTTACAACCAAACCAAATTGAATAATTGTTGTAAATTGCTCAGGAACTAGTTTCTTTATCATAACAATTTAATTCATCAACAACACCAAAAAAACAAAGGATTAACTGAACCTTGGCCATGATACTTCCGGAATGACAGAAGTTCATTATTGATTATTGACTTAATCTGGTTGTCAAAAGGCCGATGACTTTCAATGAATTAACAATTTAGGTTAATTTGATCATCATCCAGGTAATGATTAAGATGAATATTGGAGAAGAACGAATGAAAATCTAATTTGGACTATTTGAGAGTTCGTGAGTTCGAGAACGAACTTTTTTTGTTCTATTCTCATCTTTTTTTTTCTCCATCATCATCATCTCTTTCATTCTCCACCCATTTCTTTTTTCTTCTCTTAATTCCAACCTTAATTGTCCCCAATTATCGTCGTTCAACCAGCAATTTACGTTCTTGTCTCATTTGATTCCAATCATTTGAGAGAGAAGGACGAATATTTTTTTTTCTCTTTTCTTATTACATTCATGGTGTTCATCTAACTTAATCACCTTTGTTAATTGTTATAAATTGTGATTCCATCATAATGATTAATTCTGGTCAGTGGTTTAAATTGTTCTCAACCATTTTGATCAATCGTCGTTCCAACGACAAAACGTCAAAAGATGAAAAATCAACTAATCCCAAATGTAAAATCACCACATCATCAGAAAAAGTTAATTCCTCTAATCTTAAATCAATCGGTTTACCCAATCCAATTGTAACTTCAATCATCAACCTATTGTCCATTTGTGTGGTCAGTATACTTTTCATCAGCTTATTTCATCTTATCCCATGGGAAAATTGGATATTCAATGAAAATGGATTAGCGAGATTAACAACCAAAGATAATCTCGAATACAAGAATTACCTTGCAACATCAGAACAACAAATTGATGAGATTAGGTGAGTAATTTGTTTCTAATTTGATTAAACTACTTTAAACAAAAAACGAAAAAAAATCGACAATTAAATCGGATAATCAAATCATCAGTTAGAAATCAGGAAATTGAGTCACAATTAAAACAATTTTCCTTCTCAATCAAATTTATTGTCATGAATGAGTAAATTTTGAATATTAATTTGAATCGTAATTAATGTTTAATTTGACTATCGATTCTTTTTTTATCTTAATTGTTAAGTATTCATCAGGTTGCTTGTTACGAGAAAGCTTATTGGAGGGAGAAGAAATTAAATTCACTTCCGGAAAGATGCGGGGTCATGTTAACGGACGATCTTCTTCCGGAAGATGAGATAATTAAATTAAGACTATTGACCAATAAAGTGATTGATAAAATGGGCGATAGTAGTTACACTAATCGAGAATCAATTAACCTCCAATGGATTAATTTGCACAATCTATTTAAACGAAATGAGACTCAAAAAGTTCTGGAAGACGAAGAGTTTGACCTGATTCGAAATGCATCGATAGCCGCCAAGGTGAGTTAATTGTTTTTCTTTTTCCATGACAGAAATCGGTTAATTGTGAAGGTTAATTATCTTAATTGTCTTCTGTAGGAAGCGGTATCAATTGCTTTTGGCCTTCCCATTGATCGATTGTATTTCAATATGGTTTCACAATTTACTCGATATCGACCTTTGGTCAAGCATAATGAGTTTCGACACGTTGATAAGGTCCGTTCACCGGCCTTGATTGTTACCTCCATCTTGTGGCTTTCTACGGCTAATCTTGACTTCGGCGGTGGTCAGACTGAATTTCTAAATGGCCCTGGACCTGAACCTTTCTCACCAGTTTTAATTGAACCAAAATTGGGCCGATTTGCTGCTTGGACTTCAGGCTTTGAAAATCCACACGAAGTAACGGAACTTTTCTGGGGAAATCGATTAGCGCTCATATTTGCTTTCACAGTTTCGAATACACTAGGATACGAATCAATGGAAGCACTTCGAGAATGGGCAATTAAGAAGAATCAATCATCCACAAATAGTGGTTACTAAATTGTCTTTCAATAGAAAAACAAAATTAACCGTAACAATTTAAAAAGTGTCAAAGAATTACAATAATGTTATCAATCAAATTTCCTAAATTTTTTTGACACGAGAATCAAAGTTGATGATGAACTTTTCATTTTCCTTGAGAATACTTTACGTTTATTAACCATGTTAATTGGAACTAAATTAATTGTAATTAGAAAATAAAATAAATCGAAAAGTGAGAAGACGATCAAGGAGAAAAAGAAGAAGAAAAAATCTATTGTATCTTTTTCTTTGATAATATTACTAATATTTTCTATTCATGGGTCAGTTACATTTTCTCGTTATTGGACTTGGAAGATATTAATCTAATAGGAAATAAAAGACAAATATAGAAAAGACCTAAGGCAATTGTTAGATGATGATGATGATGATGATGATCACAATAATCGTAATAATCACCAGAGGAAAGAAAAGAAAGATGATGAATCATAGAATCGAGATAAATATCGAGGAAAAATTTGGTTACTTCGAATCCATTTGTTCCTTGTTACATCTTAATGGTTCATCTTTGTAGCTTTAGGATGGAAAAGCAATGAAAGAAGAAGAAAAGAGAGAAAGAGGGTGAAGAAGAAGATGATGATGATGATGATAACGGAAAAGGAAAAGAAAAGAAAAAAATATGGATATGATCTTAAAAAGAAGAGAGAGAGAAAAGATATTTCTTTTGTCCATTTCCACACAAAAAGATATCATATTAACAAAGTTTGACCATTTAGACCCTTAAGGCTACACATTAACAAGTGAAAGATGAATAAGTTAGTGTGTTCAATGTAATCTCCAGAAAGATGATGTTGGTTTTTGGCAGAAAATGTTGCAAACTTTTTGCTGGAATCTTTTCATTTCCTTGCAACATTTTTTTTCTTACTCTGGACAAGAAATTACATCTTATCCTCTTGCAAAGATGTTAATGATGATGAAGATGAAGAGAGAGAGAGAGAGAGAGAAACCTCCTCATCTTTTTGCAAAGATGCTTTTATCTTCTTCTTCTTTATCCCATATGATACTCTCACATATGCACATCTTCATCTTCATTATCATCTTTGTAATGCTTTTTGTTATCTTCTCATTTCCATCATCATCTCTTCATCGGTGTTTGATCTTTTCTTTTTTCTTCTTCTTCTTTTCCAGAGTCTTTTAATCATATTAAAGAATAGTAAAGTGTCTCTCTCTCTCTCTTCTATTATTTTTCTGTCATCTCTTATCATCATCTTCTCCTCCCACAGTTGAACAATATTATTAGTCCTCTCACTTACTCACTCAATTATCTCTCTCCCTCTCATCCAACCACCTCTGTAACTTTGTATGCGTAAAAAAAATCTTAATTTATATCAATACTTGTGAGTATAGTGTTAACATAGTGATTCTCACATAGACAATCAACGAGATCATCATTTATCATCATCAGCTCACTCTCACTCTCGACAATTCAACTATCATCATTTTATACTTTCTCTCTCTCTCTCATCATCATCATCATCATCATCTTTCTGTCTCACAAAGAAAGATCTATGATGATGCTATGATTGTCTCAATAGAAAGATGGTTTTATTTTTTAATCTGTTAACTTCTTTAACAGTTGAATTAATTATTTTTCTAACAATTAACCAGTTACCTGTTTCCATCTCAGCTCCATCTCATCATCATCAAAGTTCAATACAAAATGGAACCAAAGAACAAAATTCAACCTACTCATCTACATCCTTCTCATCATCATCATCATCATCATCGACGTTGTCTTCATCTTCATCTTCATCACCCTCATTATTATTATCACCATCAACGAAAGTTGAATTCACTCATAAACATGAGCGTTTCCCTCGTGCAGCAACCGCTCGACCTGAGCGTCTCTGGGACTATGGAGTTATCCCTTATGAAATCGAGGCCAACTTTTCCGGTGAACATAAAGCGCTCTTCAAACAGGCCATGAGACACTGGGAAAACTTTACATGTATTCAATTTGTTGAACGAACCCTCGAACATCCTAATTATATTGTTTTCACTGAACGTCCCTGTGGTTGCTGCTCTTTTGTAGGTAAACGTGGTAATGGACCTCAGGCCATTTCGTTAGGTAAAAATTGTGACAAATTTGGTATCGTTGTCCACGAATTGGGCCATGTTGTCGGATTTTGGCATGAACACACTCGACCTGATAGAGATAAACACGTTGAGATAGTCAACAATAACATCATGTCAGGTCAAGAATATAATTTCAACAAATTGTCCGATGAGGAAGTTAATTCACTTGGATTAACTTACGATTTTGATTCCATTATGCATTATGCTCGTAATACTTTTTCAAAGTCCACTTATTTGGACACAATTCTACCCCAAGAAGATATAATCCATAAAACTCGACCCGAAATCGGCCAAAGAATCCGATTATCTAAAGGTGATATCTCACAGACCAATTTACTTTACCGATGTCCAAAATGTGGTCGAACCCTTCAAGAACCAAGTGATACTTTTTGGTCACCTTATTGGCCTAATGGGTCAACTCAGGGTGAAAGTGAACATTGTGAATGGCGAATCACGGCAACTCATGGTGAACGAATTCAACTTAACATTACCGAATTGGACATTTACACATTGTCCGAGTTGAATACTAATCATAATAATAACGATGATAATTCGGGTGATGAAAATGATGATAATAATTCAAACAACTCGAACAGTAATAATGGTGAATGTTTAGATAATTATATTGAAATTCGTGACGGATATTGGCCGAAATCACCTTCGCTTGGACGTTTCTGTGGTAATAAAAGTCCAGAGATAATTATGTCAACTGGTTATCGACTATTGGTAACACTTAAAACAACAATTAAACAAATTGGACACAAAGGATTCAAAGCTCATTATGAAGGTAAACAATTAACTTTAATTGTAGATCAGAATTGTAATTATATTTATAGCATTTTGATAAATTGTTTACTGAGTGAAATCAGATCAGATTCATGTTTATGTTGTCAATTGTATGGCAATTTAATATAATCAATTCATTTTAATTGTGATTACATTTTCTGATTATCATGTTATTAGATTATGTTTACTTAATTGCTAATTTGATTGATTAACTTTTCTGTGTTTGTTTTGATGAAGTTAAATTTTTTCTCACTCAACTGAATTTAATTTAATTTGATTTAATTTCTTTCTTTTTTATCATGATTAGTTAGATATATTTCCAATTGATTAGAGATTTGATTTGAATTACTTGTGATGATTTAGCTTAAATTGTTAATCAAATTGCATCAAATTGTCACTTAACAAGAGATAATTACAATTAATTTGTTTTCTTTTCTTGATAATCATAATCACAACTTGTGAGTATAAGTTGATCATCTTAATTGATTTGATTCAATGATAACTAATTAACAGGTAAAAGTAAATCAATTTTATCAAAATCTCAACTTGATTAATCACAATGATCACCAAAGTTAAGTTAATTGACACAAGACAATCAATAATTATATAACCAACAGACAACAACAATTAACGATTTCCTATTTGTTGATGATTTTCATTAGTTGATCAAAACCTTAAAATCAAACAATTGATTAATTTTCCTTCGACAATTAATCAATTCCAGGTAAAGATCGGATTAAATTTTCTTCTCTATGGAAGTTTTCAAAGTAATCGCTCTTTAAATCATCGAAGGCTAATTAACTTTAGCATTTATATTTCATCGCCAAAGGGAATTTTGAACTCGAGTAAATGTTTATCGAAAAGGTTATTACCATGAACGATAAAATCTTCCTCCAGTGGTTCTCTGTTCTAGTCGAGTCTACAGTTAATTTGGAAGTGTTAAAAAAGATTAAATCGATTAACTGTAAATTTCGATCATTAATAGAATAGAAATCAATTGAAAGCTAATCAACTGTGAGATTAATTGAGTTAATCCTTTAATTCACCAAGAAACAATGATGATTGATTTGATTGATTTTCTAATGTTTAATTGTTAATCATTCTAATCACAAGTTAATTCTAATACAATGATCTTTCTTTGTTCTCTTAACAATTTAATTCTTGATTCTCTTTCTCTCTCTCTCTCTTTCTTTTTCTTTACGTTGATTATCAAGTGCGTAATTCAATTAACTTTTAATTGTCTTTCCTTGTTTATTTATTTCTCTCTTTCTATTGCCAACAATTAACAGCAATTTGTGGTGGTGATATTATCTCCGAGGAAGGAACTCTTCAAAGTCCTAATTACCCTGAAGATTATCGACCTAACAAAGAATGTATTTGGAAAATTCAAGTTCCAGAAAAGTATCAAGTTGCCCTGAAATTTTCTTCATTTGAAATTGAATCTCATGATAATTGTGTCTACGATTATTTAGAGGTTCGTGATGGTCATTCGCTGTCCAGCTCAACGCTTCTGGGTAAATATTGTGGCCACAAAATACCAGCTGATATCCGTTCAACGGCCAATAAACTTTTAATCAAATTTGTCTCCGATTCTTCCGTCCAAAAAGCCGGGTTTTCGGCCAATTTTATCAAAGAGTTCGATGAATGTTCAAGTGGCTCTCATGGATGTGATCATGTTTGTGTTAATACATTGGGTGGTTATCGGTGTGAATGTCGAATCGGCTATGAGCTACATTCGGATGGTAAAAAGTGTGAAAATGCCTGCGGCGGATTAATTGAAATCTCTAATGGTACATTGGTCAGTCCCTCGTTCCCTGATCTTTATCCGCCCAATAAAAATTGTATTTGGGAAATAATTGCACCGCCACAATATCGGATTACCCTTAATTTTACTCATTTTGACCTTGAGGGGAACAATGTAAGTTACAATCAACACTAGAAACCCAAAATAATGATACTAATTACCAAACAATCAATCATCTAATTTGTAGCAAGATTGTGAATACGATAGCGTCGAGGTTAAAAGTGTCAAGAGCGATAATCCCGATTATTATAAACACGGTGTTTTCTGTGGACCAACAAACCCGCCGACAATCACATCGATTGGTAACAGTTTACGAATTGAATTTAACACCGACAATAATGTCCAAAAAAGCGGATTCTCAGCGTCTTTTTTCACAGGTAAAACTTTTTCGATTTGTTTCTCTCGACCACAATGCGAACTTAACTTTTTGTTTCGATTTCAGATAAAGATGAATGTGTAATCAACAATGGTGGATGTCAACATATCTGTACAAATACCATAGGCTCTTATAAGTGTTCCTGTCATAATGGTTTCGTCCTCCATGATAATCGACATGATTGTAAAGAGGGAAGTTGTACCCATTCAATTGTTTCACCTTTCGGTTTGATAAGTTCACCAAATTATCCTGAACTTTATCCTAATCGTAAAGATTGTGCCTGGTTGTTTACAACTACTCCAGGTCATCGGATTAAACTTGTTTTCGAAGATTTTGAACTTGAAACTCATCCCGAATGTGCTTATGACCATTTAACTGCCTACGATGGATCAACACTCGAAAATACCACTTTGGGAAAGTTTTGTGGGTCCAAATTGCCCCACCCGTTGCTCGCATCGTCAAACAAACTCTACATGATTTTCAAATCAGATCCATCAGTCCAAAGGAAAGGATTCAAAGCGACACATACAACAGGTAAATTATCAATCAATCGATATCCGATCTTCTAATTAAATGATCGCTTATTCATAGTTTGTGGTGGACGATTAATGGCCTCAGCAACCGTTGAACATTTGTATTCCCATGCTAAATATGGCGATTCTAATTACGATAAGAAAGAAGATTGTGATTGGATAATTGAAGCTCCTAATAGTTATCGAGTTCGACTTCGTTTTCTTACCTTTGAGATCGAAGCGGAAAACGATTGTAGCTACGATTATGTTGAAATTTTCGATGGTTACGATACAACTTCTCGTCTAATTGGACGATACTGTGGTAATAATGTGAGTATCTAATCGAAAATTAATTCTCTTTTTATTTACAATCAAGAAAAGAGGAACATTTTCTCTTCTTCTCCTCTACTAATCTCCTTAAATCCGATACTCTTCCATTCCCCTAATCCATTCAAACGAAAAGACTAAGGTCCTTTTTAGACCTTAAGGTTAAATTATAATTTAAAAAAGATGAAGAAAGAAAGAAAAAGAGAGAAGAGAGAGAAAAGGAAAAGGAAGATGATCAGAGAGAAAGTATTGATATTCGTTGAGAGAGATGAATTTTCTTTACTCAGTTTAATTTAGACTGTCCAGTGGTCAAATTGTTTCTCTTTTCATCAATATGAAAAATTTCATCTTCTTTTTACTCATCAATCTAATTAACTTGTGTTCCCTAATTGATCAAGTTCTAACTCATCCACCTTATAGTCCATACCAACGTCCGTCACATTATCAACCACCTCCAGTCTATTATCCTCCTCCACCTCCTCCTCCACCTCCACCTCCTCCGACTGTTTATTACCCACCACCTCCTCCACCCCCACCAGTCTATTATCCACCTCAAGTTTTTTATGCAAAACCTTCACCTTATTATCCAATATACTATTATATTGTTTATCGTTGATTAATTGACTAGTTACCACCGGAGATTCTGGGATCAAGTGAATTCATCTTGTTAAGATTTCATTCGGATGATACTTTACATTACAAAGGATTTTCAATTGCTTTTTATGCTTTGGATGCTAACGAGGATGGTCAGTTCATCGAGGAATCATCATCTTTGTCCATCACAAAAACAAAACTATAACAATTAAATATATCATCAATTGCATGTGGTTAAATTTACATTGTATTACATAAATATGTTTTCTTTAGTTTGATTTGATTCAATTAAATCTTTTGATTTCAAAATGATGATACATCGATTTTGTGATATTTGTGAATTCATTTTGTAAAATTTTTGAAAAAAAAGGTGAAAAGTGTCAATTCAAGTTGACAAAACATTTTCTGTTGATACGATGAGATGGATTTATGAATCTGTGAGTAAATCATGATGAATTATCGAGATGACTGCGATTAATTAGTCTTCATCTTCATCATCACCAAAAGATAAAAGTCTATTGTCATTGAGCTTTTTTCTATTGTCATCAAGTTTGGCGATTTTTGATCTATTAGATGGAGAGTCTTTCATGTTTCGTTTAGAATTTTGTTGGATTTCGCTTGTTGATTTTTCGTCTTCAGTTGATTTGATTGGTTTTTTAAAAATTAATCGTTCTCCGGACTGGTGAGTCTCTGTCTCTTTGTCGCCCTTAATTTTGTCACCATCTTCACCTAAATAAGATGTAAAATCAAATATGTTAGAAATTTGAACAATGTTTCAATCAGAATCATAACATTTATCAGATCATCACAAAGATAATTTCGGTTTTTGGATCTTAAATTATTCTGAAATTAGAAACCGAAGTTGATTTTGTGTTCACTTGATAGGAAACTCACCTTGATTTGCAATAAACTCTTGGGCTTCTCGTTCAGTTACTTTACTATTCTTTGGAATTACAATCACTGGTTTCTCATCATCCTGATCAGCGTAATCGTCTTCTGATGCTTGAGGTAATTGTTCATTCTAGGAAAGGTAAGTTTGGGTGAAAAAGAAAACAATTGATAAAAATTACAAACAAAAATAGAAGAAAAAAAAAATGTAAACAAACCTTTGTTTCTAAATTCGGTCCTTCTTTATATCCGATTTTGGCTTTGATTCGCTTCAAAAAAGCGGGTTCGTCTGGTTTGGAGAACATAATTCCATTTTTACGCGACATGATTAAAGAACAAAAAATCTAATCCAATCAGTTAATCAAAATTAAAAAGATTCGCAATTTTAATTAATCTTAAATTCTAATGCGCTTACAGCTCCACCTGTGGAAAAGAAGATGAAATAACTGAGATTCTTTCTTGATGTAAATTTTTTTTTTTATAAGAATTAAATTGTTAAATTTAACTAAATAATTAATATTTAAATTGTGTTTTATCATAAAAATTGAAGTACTAAGTGTGGAGACCAAATTGAATACAAATAATCAGGTAGGTTCAGCAAGACAGAATACTCTGAGACAGAATACTGAAAAACACGTTTCTTATATAAGAATGAACTCTGACACTAACAACTTCTCGACAGAATACTTTTACCTTCCCCTATTTTAGAGATCCACCTGAATTATATGAACAATATATTAAAATGTAAGATCAAATGTCTAATTGATTAATTTTTTATTTTTTTCAATTGTAAACAAAATGAAAATTCAACAAAAAATTTTTTTGCTTTGTGTTCTCTTTATTGACACCCCCTGGTGAATGCATTATACATTATTCTTCAGGAATCCTGAGGCGGATTACCTGAAGGTCCTTCCGGACACTGGACTAATCGTTCAGTTTACAAAGGTTTTTTTTTTTTTGAGTTTAATTTCATTAGTTTAACTTCATTAGTTTCAATTCATTAGTTTAATTTCATATTTGGTAAAGTTGAAATGGGTGCCGTTTGTTTGAAGGTCCAAAGATAGTTTGACTCATTAGGTTTGTCATAAAGAAAAGGAGAAAATAAAAAAACAAAATTTTAGAATTTCAATCTTTTCAAAAATATAAGTTTGAGATATAGAAATTAAGTTGCATCAAATTAAACAAAACTTACCAATAAACAAAATGGTTGAAGTTACGACGCAATAATAGCTCAGTTTTAAGGTTAACAAAGAAAACAACTAAAGTAACTGTTGAACTATCATAATTTTGGTATCAACTTGATCCTTGTGATGAGATGAACATTAATAACACAAAATTTAAATTAAAATTCACAGGTAAAGTTAATTAAATTAAAATTTATCAGGAGCGAAAAGTTAACCTATTACAATTTACATTCTCTCTATCATTCGGTGGCTCAGATGACCGATCGAGGGCAGCACTTGAGGCTGCTCAGTCTTCGGACGACTGTAGTTAGTCACCTCTTGGAGGATCAATAAATTGTAAACACATGTGAACGAATTAATTACAATTGTAATTTTTAATTAACTATTTAACTACAAATGAATTTTTGTTCTCAAGAATTAGTTGATTGTTTAGGGAACAATTCGAAACGAGGTTGAAGATCATCTTTATCCGAATTTCTATCCTCATCGTTGGTTTGTTTACATCGATCATATGTTTTTCTCTTGATTTGTTTGTCAATTTGATCTTGGTTAAGGTTAACTTAAATTCAACAATTAAATTGTCCACCATTTTATTGGAAAGTTATTTAGTCATCTAAAATTTAACTATCTCAATGAGTTTCATCATTAGTTGAATTTTCCAAGAATGGTTGATAAAAAGGTAATTCTAATTTTGGTAGAATAGATTTTGTTTTCATTTGAATTCTATTCTTAAATTTGATTTTTCTTCTATTTCTTGTTTACAGTTTGGTAAATCTGAGAATAATCAACAAATTGTTCATGATGCTGATTTCCCTCAAAAATATTGTATTTACATTTTAAGGTGAGTTAATTACTTTTGAAAGAATTAGTGTAATTAATTGATTGTTTTCCTCTCTAAATTTTGACCAACAGAAAATTTGATTTTGAAAATTTCTACAACACTAAATTCATTGATAATCAAATCACCCGGAGAACTGCTTTCGCTATTCGTGCTTTTAACACCGAAATATCACAAATTCGAGATGTAACAACTCAAGATCAAATCGCCCGGATGAGATTCCAATTCTGGTATGATGGTATTGAGAATGCAATGAATGCGGAACAATCAATTAATCATCCATCGCCCAAACAACAACCGCTTCTCTACGAAATTTCCGAGGTAAATTTTTCCATCATGAGTTTAGTAAATGAAAATTTAATTCTTCACTTTCATTTGTTGTTGTGTTTCATCAGTTGATTGATTTTCTATTTCCTATCTCTCTCTCTCTCTTTCAGTGTAATAGATTATGTGATGGTCGATTATCAAAGAGATGGTTCAAACGTTTAATTGATACTCGTGATTCTCCTGAAGGATTAAGTAATTTTCCTTTCACAACTATTCAAGAATTGGAAAGTTACAGTGAGAATTCAGTGTCACCCGTTTTTTACCTCATCTCAGAGGCCATTTTATCCCAAATTACATCATCTAAATCTACACCCGGTATTCAATTGAAATTGGATCACATTGGAAGTCATATTGGTAAAGCTCAAGGATTAGCTAATGTCGTTCGAGGGATAATCCATAATGCCAAATATAATCGTTGTTATATTCCCTCGGAACTTTTAGTCAAGCATAATGTCACCCATCAAGATTTAATCAAAATCAATGATAAACCAGCAATCAAAGTGATTGATGTTTGCTATGATATTGCCTCCCTTTCCCACCAGCATATAATTAAGGCTAAAAAATTGACTCAAGATTCATCTTTAGGACAATTTAGCTCGATATTTTTACCAATAATTACATTAGAAAGATTTTTGGACAAATTGAGACGAAACAATTTCGATGTGACAAAAACAACTTGGGGACGAAAAGATTTATTTTTCCCTTTGGTTTTATTTGGTCGATCAAGATTATGGAAATTGGGTCGAATTATCTAATACACAATTAAATGTATTTAAATGTCTCAATCAAAAGTGAAAAAGTATCACAATTAAATCGGAAAATATAATTGTTAACAACAGTTTGTTTTCTGTTCAATTATGTAATCGTCCCTCTAAGTAAATCTTCAAGACAAAAATTCTTGTCAACATTTCAACAATTGAATTTAAATTTTGTCTCTTTTCACAATTAGTTTTACTAGTCAGTGACTTTTCTTGATTTCTACTAATTGTTCAACAATCATGGAAGGTGGTATTGATCCAAATGACGCTCGTCTCAAACAATTAAGGATTAAAACTGGTGTCCTTAAGAGGTGAACCATTTTTTGTTTACAGTCTTTCATAGTATTTGAATTGAATTTGTCTTTACAATTACAATTATTTTCTTGGTTGTTTCTTGTTTTCTTAATTGTTAATTGTTGTTTTTCTCTCCCTTCAAAGGCTTCACAAGGAATTACAATGCTATGAACGAGAAAGGACTGTTGAATCAACCAAATTGGAGGAAATGAAATCCGAAAATGCCGTGGCCAATGATATAGCCCACCAGGTAGATTCTAATTGATATTTCTTCATATTTGTTTTCTATTCCAATTTAGATTAAATTGTTGGACAGTTTAGATTTTTGACCTTTGATTGTCTTCTTTTTCTAGGAAAAAGTATTGGAGGAAACTGAGAAAATGCTACCTGGATGCAAGGAAAGATTCGAGGCTGCTTATGTTGACCTGAGAGGATTGGTCATGGTGAGAAAAGCGATTCTATATTTTGATTACAATTCAATTGTAACAATTGTATTGATTTTCTTTTTCTTAATTAGGAATCTGAGGAGCTATGTGACTCGGAACTTTATAAAGCGGCTCAAAATCTACTGGACACTATTCGTATTTGAACCATCAGGGTCGTTGAGATCATTTTTAAGTTCGGTTTAAAATTGATAGCAAAATCGCAAACGTTTTCCGTTTTTCTCTCAACAATTTCTATCAATATGATCCTTTATGCTTTTTCATTTATCACCGTAGCTGAACTGAATTGAATTAATCAATGTTACTTTAATTTGCACCATTTTTGTATTATTACAAGTGAACTGATTGGAAATAAAGTTCATCTTTTTCTTTCTCGATATTTTTTGTCCCCTGGCAGTTGATTGTAGTCACGAATTAGTTACACAAATATTCAGCAAGTTAAGGTTATATTATCGTTATTAATATTTTCACCAAGTTGTATCAACATATAACTTGTTGGACAATTATTTTACAAACTAATTCAGGTAAATTATCATATATTTAAACTTCTAAGCAGCGGCCTCAGCTTGTGCTTTCCTAATTCTGGCTTGTCTGGCATCCAAACGTTTCTCTCTTTCATATTCCTTCATCCTTAAGACTTGACTGAAAATAGAATAGAAAAAAAAGTAAACAAGACATTCATTAATCACCATGAGAATATCAATTCTAAACAAGGTAACAAGAATAACCTACAGATGGATATGTAAATGAAACGGTCGATACTTACTCATTGTGTTGACATTCGTGCCAATTTTCCTTGTAATGTGCACATTTACCAGTGAATGGATAATTATCTCTCATGCAGGCTTGCCATTTGATAGCATGATGGGCACAATAATCTCTATGAGAGTCGATTAATTGAGCTGATTCCATTTCGGCCTCAGTTGCTATACTGACTCGTTCTTTTCTTCCTTTGGGAAAACCATATAAAGGATCATATTTACTCTCATTTCTTGGATCAGGATAACCTCGCAAATGAGGTACAGTCCAATCGAAAGCGTCCCGTGAAAGTTCGTTTCCCATGTTGATTGGAAATCCAAAAATAATCAACAAAAACACCGAAACTTAATTAAAAATAAGCAAAATTGAAATTGTAAACAAAAAGTCAACAAACAATTGACCTTAACACCGAGAGAAAATAAAATCCAATAGATGGCGCAGTTAACAGGGAACGTCACTTAATCTAATTGAGTTTTTTTTTCTCGAACCCAAAAAAAACCAAATTATTGAAGCTCATTCATAAACGATATAATAGTAAATTGGATATGGATAGTAAGGATAAGACCTTGTATAATAGACTTGAGGGGGGTAGTAGACTGGTGGTGGAGGTGGAGGAGGTGGTGGGTAATAAACAGTCGGAGGAGGTGGAGGTGGAGGAGGATAATAGACTGGAGGTGGTTGATAATGTGACGGACGTTGGTATGGACTATAAGGTGGATGAGTTAGAACTTGATCAATTAGGGAACACAAGTTAATTAGATTGATGAGTAAAAAGAAGATGAAATTTTTCATATTGATGAAAAGAGAAACAATTTGACCACTGGACAGTCTAAATTAAACTGAATAAAGAAAATTCATCTCTCTCAACGAATATCAATACTTTCTCTCTGATCATCTTCCTTTTCCTTTTCCTCTCTCTCTCTCTCTCTCTCTCTCTCTCTCTCTCTCTCTCTCTCTCTCTCTCTCTCTCTCTCTCTTTCTTCATCTTTTTTTAAATTATAATTTAACCTTAAGGTCTAAAAAGGACCTTAGTCCTTTTCGTTTGAATGGATTAGGGGAATGGAAGAGTATCGGATTTAAGGAGATTAGTAGAGGAGAAGAAGAGAAAATGTTCCTCTCTTCTTGATTGTAAATAAAAAGAGAATTAATATTCGATTAGATACTCACATTATTACCACAGTATCGTCCAATTAGATGAGAAGTTGTATCGTAACCATCGAAAATTTCAACATAATCGTAGCTACAATCGTTTTCCGCTTCGATCTCAAAGGTAAGAAAACGAAGTCGAACTCGATAACTAATATACTCAGGAGCTTGAGCAATGATACAACTGATGTTTGTATTTGATTAAGAGATAAATTCGAGACTGATTGTTCAAAATCTTTGAAAACAAGTTAAATCCCATATTGATTTTCCTTAAGGTCCTACAGATTTCAATAGAAATGGATTAGTATCAATGTAGAGAGATTAGTTGATAAAAAAGTAGTTCAATTCCTGGAACGGATAAATAATCCAAACAGAATCAGGTACTCACAATAATATCACAATTAGCTTGAGGATAAGGAATTACCTTTGGTATTTGCATGTTGACATCTCGAAATTATTAATAGTTTCGAGAAGAAAAAAAGTTCTAACTAATAAAAGAAATCGAATCAAATTTATCTGGAAATTATTTTTCCAACTTTAATTGTTGATTCGATATAGTTGTAACTACTCATTTGTTGAGTCTTAATCACAATTAAAGATGAAATTAGTTCGAGAGATAGTTAATTGTGAAACAGATTGTTTTTTATTCATGCATATATATTTTTCGGTAGTTAATTATATCATATACACAAAAAGTATTTAATTTAATTGTTAATTTTCCCAATTTATATTTTATATTGTAAGTCTACTCTGTTGATTTGGTTGTGTTTGTTATTAGTTAATTGCTGTTTTGATTGAGTTTCCAATAAATATTTTTCCGTTTATTTTGTTGATGAGATGATGGTGATGATGTTAATTGTTAGTTAATTGTTGTAATACTTTTCAAGCAAAAAAAAAACGAAACAAAGAAAAACTTTTTGTTAACATTAAAACATTACGATTGTTAAAATTTGACTGATCAAAAGTTATTATCATCATTTAAATTAAATTAAATTAGATCCTCATCTCAATTGATTGTGTGATGATTTAGATTGGCGATGAAATTAAATTTCCTTTTTAATTGAAAAACAAGCAAATTGTTAATGTGCAAAGAGGAAGAGGTTTGATTAACATTGGAAACTCTCATTGATGATGTTTTAATTGTTTGCAATCAGAGGAGTAAATGATTAAGAATAGAGATGATGATGATTAAAAACAAAATTTGATTCTCGCAATTCACAATCAAGTAAATAAATCAATCAATTTGTAAACTGTAAACTAATTAGTTAATTGTTATGGTTTCTCTTTGTCCTTTTAAAGGTAAATCAATGTTAACAGAACTTAATTACAATTAATTGTCACAATCATTCAGGTAAATCGGATAAGATAGACTTTATTTACCACTAATCATTAAATTGTTTTTCTTAATTTTCTCTTTGATTAAAACTCATTTTCTTAGATTTGTTGTTGATTGTAAAACGAAAATGAAAATAAAAACATAAACAGGAGAAGAGGAAAAACATTGATGAGATGAGAGAGGAGGAAGCGGATATTGAGATCGAGAAGATCGAGTCCACGACGATGGTTCAAAGTTCGAGACGAGGTTCAAGTTTCATTAAATGATGAGAGAATGATGAAGACAAATCATGGTGAAGCCGAAGATTTCCTCAGGTAGATTATCGTTAATATAATAGTCGAGATGATTTAATGGATGGGAGAGAGATGAGGAGAGGGAATTAATTACTAAATCAACGATTTAGCAACGATTTATATATAGTATTTATAGTTGATGGATCGTCGAATGCGAAACAAGGGGAGAAACGAAACACTCGCAATTAGTAATTAGATTTAATCAATCATCTTCTGGCCAATTAATTGTTCCACCAAATTGTAAATCATTATAACCCAATTGAAAAGTAATCATTTGTTTGATCAAATCCAAAACAAGAAGAGGAAAAAAAAAATCAATCCAAATTGTTGTTGTTGATGATGATGTTAATCAGTTAATTGGGTTTGTCAATTCATGTGGATTTTGATTATATTAATTGTTGATAAATGTTTTTTTTACGTGAAATTTATTAGGGAAAATCAGTTTTAATTGTTGTCGCTCGGTGGTTGTGGTGGTTGTGGTGGTGGTGAATGTTAATTGTTGTGAATGTTATATGTATTTTTGTGTGTGTTGTGTGTGTGTTTAGGTTGATTGTTTGGTTTGTTATTCATTAAATGGAAACAATTAATTACCCGAAAACCAAGCAAATATAACGAGAACGAAAACAAGTCCCACTCCGACCATAACCGCGATCATTTTAGCGTTTTTCCACCAGTATTTTGATTTAAGGGCTCCCGCTTGTTTCTCGAACATTTCGGCGCCTTCCTTCAGGGCATCGGCTCTTTCGTCTAATTGTGAAATCATTGCATCACGTTCCAACACTTTCTCTACATTCATTCTCATTATTTCCGTGACCTCATCGACCTGAGCTTGAGTTTGCTGCATCCTTTTCTGGGCGATCTGAACATTTTGTGATGGCTTAGGTTTATCTGGATCATCGTCTTGTTGATCGGCCTCTGGTTTACCCTTTTCAACATCTTTCTCGTCTTTCTTACCACGACCAGACCTACAGGGTACATGTATAAACGGATATTCATGTACAGGGGGTTGAGAAGATAAAGAAAAAGATGAGAAAATCATTATTATTGTTGCGAAATTAATTGTTAAAGGTTAGGGTCATTATCGGCTACTTGGGATGGATTAGAGATACAATAATCATGATGAAATGAAACTGATTATCATTGAAATTGTTAGTTTATCTTGAGTATTATTGGTTCTGGGAGATAGAAAGAGTGAGAGAGAGAGGATGATTTCTCTCAGAAAGAAAGTAAAGAAAGAGAGAAAAAAATTCGAAAGAGAAGATAAAAGTTCACCTTAATGAATCAATATTATTTTCTTTCCACTCTCATATTGATTGAGAATCTAATCATGGATGCTAATAATAATCATCTAAATATCGAGTGAACATAATTAAGCGACTAATTGTTAACAGAATTATCTGATTGTTGTAACTATTGTAACGGTACTTTTAACAATTAGAATATGAAAGGTTCAATTGTCAATCAATGAGAAGTTTACAAATCAAGGTAAACAATTGAGAACAAGAGACAAGAGAGGAAAAGAGAAAGAGAGGAAAGAAAGAAAGAAAAACTAAGAGAAAATAAAAAAGAAAGAAAAGAAAGAGGAATAAGTAAGAAGCATTCATGGCTTCAATGAGAAAATAAAAAGACTTTCTTTTTCTCTTTCTTATTTCACTTTCTTCTCTTTCTTTTCCTTCCCTTCCCTTCCCTGTGTATATCTCATGAATACACACACACATTTACTCCGGATTATTCTGGGAATGAATCACAAGATGGACTTACATTATTAGTATTTGTTAATAGAATTTAATTGTAACAGACTAGGAAGATGGTGGAAGTTAAATTGTTTAAGATAATTTAATTCTGAAGCACAAATAACACGAAACAATTGGAATATATTTCCAATTAATTAATCCGAAGGTGTAAACACAATAGAGAGAGAGAGAGAGAGAGAGAGAGAAAGAGACACAGAAGACAAGAAAGAAAGAGATAAAGAAAGAGACTTTTACACTGAATTAATATATTGAACACTGATTGTTTGTCTATGATCAATTGGAAATTAATTGAGAAGAAAAATAATTTTATTCAGTTGATTAAGAAATACAAGGAAGGATAAAGAGAGAAGGAGATTAACCGATCAAGTCAATCGAGATGAATACGTTGGGAGGATATGATATTTGTCTTATTTATTATCAGAATTTAGGGTAAACAGGTAAAAAAAAGACGAAATTCTGGTTAAATCAGTTTAACCCGAAAGGAAATGAGAATGAAAATGTTTCTGAGGAAAATTCGAAGAGAAGGAAATTCGACGCAAGGTTCTTCTAGTTTCTTTTCTTTATCATGACAAACAATTGATGGAAACTCGATTCAGATCGATAATCAGGTTTAACTACAATGAGACGACTCTTCGAGTTTCGAATCGACAAATAACAAATGTTACTCATTTTCTTTCGTTTATTTTTTTATTTCTCTTACTTTTCTTTCGAACTTTTATAATTTTTTCTCTCTCTTTCTCGATCTCTTTGTCTTTCTTTTGTTTACTGATTCTCTTAATATTTCCATGGGTTGAATTGAATTAACATATTAAAAGAGTACAATTAATCGTGACACTAAATATCAACAACTTATCACGAAAAGTTTTCCATTTGAATGTCAATTTGTATCACTTTATCACTAATCACTGATTTACTAATTAATTATTCAGGTAAATTGATTGTTGACTTTGAATTATCGTCATGATTACTAAAGTTTCATGCACTGTGGCCTTATCCACGATTTGATTGCTTTTTCTTTATTGGAGTAATTTAATAATCCTGTTGATTGGATCCGCAAATTGAATAGTTTTGATATTCAATTGTAATAGTTGATCAAGACACATTTGATTGTTGTCTTGGTTTTATTTTCATCTCCCGTGGAAGTAGCTGTTATTATAATATATAAAAAGCATATAATTGATCAAATGGTTAATTTGAAGAAAAGGTAGAAATTTAAATTAGTTTTTGATCAACAATTAAATTCTTAATTTTTCTTTGTCTCAGCAATTTTAGGCTTCTCGTATTCGATGACAACTCTTGGTCGACTCCTCTTGATCCTTTCTTTGATTAATTCTTCTTCCTCTGATTCACTTTCCATTTCTGATTCATCTTCTGAAGTATCAGTTGCTGAATATTCTTCCATTTCTGAATCAGTTTCCTCAAAATCTTCGGCAGCAACAAACTGTACTTTCTTTTCCTTTGATTTTGCTTCTTTCGAAGTGCTTGGTTCATCTTCGATTTCGACTTCACTGTCAGCGTCTTCGTCTTGCATGGCTTTATCGAAAGCAGTTTCTGGGAATTTATACATATCACCATAAGTTCCTTGTTTCAACCTGAGAGAAAATAAAGAAAAATTTAGTGAGAAAAGTTGGTTGAAAGGATGAATTACAATTCCTTTACCTTTCTAAAAGCTCCCTTTCAATCGCATTATCCAATTTCGCAGCTAATAAGGCTTTAACTTCTCTTCTTCTTTCTCTTCTTTCAATCTTCCTCGGCATTGTCACCAATTTCTTTTGTCTTCTAGTGGCCATTTTTCTCATTCGCATGAGATATTGAAAAATTTTTGTATATCGTTTTTTACACTTGTGTTTCGATTGGAATGGCCAGTAGATTAAATGTCTGTCAATTTCTTGCAATGCAGTTTGATAATCTTTAGATAATCGAATTTTTTCCCATAATTTGGCTGGAAAAGCGGCTCTTTCAATTGTCTTAATGTAAAGATAACAAACTCCTTCCTCTTCCCGTACAGTAGCATAGTTACTATTTGCCAAAGGACAATTGCTACGATTACACAGACCCATAACATTGTATTCATTTTTACAGAAATCCTGAGTTATGCTCCTAAACAGAAAATGAAATACACAGAATGCAAATTAATAAACATTTCAAAAACACCAAAAGAAAAGCAATAATTAAAAATAAACTCACTTAAGCTTATAAGAACAAGTTCCAGCTCTCAATGTATTCCAAATAACCTGGAAAAAGAATAGAACAAAAAAAAGTCAAAAAACATTAGAATCAATAAACCAGACCAAAGGTTAACCTTAACAATCAACCGTAACTTACATCGTCATGTTGCATGGTTGATTTAGAATGAAAGAATATTAAACTAGTTAGTTAACAACAATAAAAACGAATTACAAATCAATGGTGAATTAATAAAATAAACACAATCAATTTAAGTTGCACGTGGAAACCATAAGGTTTCAAATAGAAAAACTATTTATCTTTGTGGTTTTCACTCAATAGAACAGAACTGATGATCGAGAACAGAAAAAAATGAGTAATCAACAAACAGTAAATCAAATTAATTTTATCAAATAAAAGAAATAATTAAATATAAACAATCAAATTCTAAACAATTAACCAAACAATTACAGAGAAGAAAAAAATTCTAATTACAATTCAGTTGTCTAGATGTCGCTGTTGATCGAGTTTCGACCGGTTGACCAGGGATCTTATTCTCATAAACAATAGTAACAACTCCCATTAGAAAACATAAACAACAATTTTAATTGTTTTCTTTTTGTTTAATTAATTAAATTAATTCTAATTTTTTTGGTTTACTGATTAACTTTAATTATACGCTAACATGGTAAGTCATTGATCTTTTGTTTGATTGTCTTCTTTTAGGTTAACTTGTTGATAAAACTGTTGATTTATTTTCCCTTTTATTTCAACAGAGATTCAAATTGTTTGGTGATCTTGATTGTCCAGATTGGGTTTTAGCTAATTTAAATTTACTTGCTAAATTGGTAATTATATTTGTTATATTATTTCACATTTGATATGTTGTATTAATTTTTCTAATTTGTTATCTATTCGTTGATTTTAGAGTTCGGTTAAAGTGAAACTCATTTGTAATCTAGTGATTTCTGATGTTGGAAAAAAAGAGATTGATGTAAGTCGCCATTTTGTTTTTAATTTTCTTTTAATTATCATTGGTATTTTCTATTTCTTTTTCTTTGCTGTAGTTTGAAAAACTGTTAAAGATCACCAGTGATGCCAAATTTGATGAGAAAGACAGTAGAGCTTGTTTTATGGTTGTCTCATTTATCCTTAAAAGTGCTTGGAGATTTAATATTGAACAGTCTATCGTTACAGCGGAATTACAACAATTAGGATTACCTAAAGGTTTTATTTTTCTTTCTAAAATTATACCAGTCTTATTGTTTGATTTCTTTTCTTATCCAATTTGTTTATAGAACATACAACTGCGATTGCCAAAGTTTTCGCTGAGAAAGCTGATGATATGAGAAACGCTCTGAAAAGTCAAAGTCTTCGTCTCAATAAGCTCGATGAAATTGAGACTCAAGTAATGGATGGATTCCAAACGGACAATTTCAAGATTAACACAAAATTAGGATTGATTAAGATGAAACTCAACAAAAATGGATCAAAAGAAATGGTTGAATTTGCTATAACCAAAGAGAAATTAGCAATTCTAATACAGTCATTGAAAGAAGCTGAAACATTAGAATAGAGATTCGATCTCTCTAACGAAGTCAACAATTTAAATCTTGATTAGTTGACATAATCGAAAGTTGCCAAATTTGTACTATTCTCATTCCATGAACATCTTTCTCATCCTATGAGAAAAAGAAATCAATTTAATTTTTAACTTTTTTAATTCCCAGACTCAAAGGTAAATTGAATTTATTTACTTTAGATCAATTTGCTCAAACTAACTTATACAGTTGATTATACAAAATAAATCTTGGTAAGTTGATAATGAGCACAAAATTAAAGTAAACTCTCATGATAAGATGCCACTTGATTGAAAGCAAAAGAGTCAATCAATCAATTTTTCTGGTGTAAGACTTTCGATAATAAGAGTAAAAAAGTCCGAGAAAGATAAAAGCATTACCCAGATTAACAACTATTGAGGATTTAGGGAAGTCACAATCGGGCAGAGCTAACGAATATAATCCATGGAGAATGGCGAGAATAAACTGACCGATCTGAAGAGTGGTCAAGTATTTTTTTGTTGTTCGCAGGAGTTTTGTGATTCGAGGATAAGACAACGAACCATTGGCACCAGAGACGAAAGCAGCTAATCCATAATAAGTGTACATGAACGTATGAACACCCGAATTGAGAAGAGGAAAGAACGCGTTATTTACACCAGTATAGAACTTCATTCCAATCCAAACGGAAATTGGTACAGTCGAGTGATGGAAAACATGGAGATCGGAAATGTGAGAATTTTTCTTCCTCAGAACAAAGAAAAAAGTATCGGCGAACTCAATCAACTTGGATACGAAAAACAACCAACCAAGACTAAGTGATTCTAAAGCTTTATCAGAAAAATCCGTTGGATCATAAGGATATCGTGTACATCCCCATGCATCTAATCCGAATGATAAAATGATAGATCCACGATAATAAATATAACCTGAGAGAACGACCATCGCAGCATTGTAACCGATCAGAACACGACGCAGGTCATATGGTTTACGGTCTCTCATCCACATTGGACCAAAATACTTAACGATGAGCAAATATAAACCGACGAGAGTTAATGTTAACCATGGACCAGAATTGAAGAAAGGATAGTCGGCGATTCTCGGGTCACCCTGGTGATCCCAAAAGTCGTGAACATAATAGTTGAGAGTTTCGCTTGCTCGTTGAATTACCATTGAACCAAATCAATCAGAAAATATACTGAAAAACTGATTAAAAAAGAACAATCAAAAAAGCGAAAACTCATCAATTAGGAAAATTAATCAACTACTTTAGTTTAAAACTGCACCTCAGGACGCTGGTGATTAAACAAAGACTTGTTGTTAATTAGCATGATCACTCGAAAATGTGACACCTTAAAATTGATGATCTAGTGATTGGTCGTGATCAAGAGTAATTAAACAATTACAATGTATTTGCTGATAGATTTCTGTTGTGATCAAATTTTGTTGCAGCTTTCATTGTGCTTTTAAACGTGTTGCTACTTTAAATTGGTTCATACAAGATGAGAATAAACAATCAACTAACTTAAATTATTCATTTTCTTTGCTTGATCACCAATAATCAATGGTAACAAATTGTTACTCTTTGATTATTAAATAATCAAATCAATCAATTATGTGAGTTCTTAATTTTCAAATAGAGTAGATGAATCTTTGAGAAATTTAAATTGTAATAAGTTGTCATATAAATAAACAGCAATGATGACTCTTGTGAAAGTTAATCGTTTAATTGTCGCCTATTAATTGATTGTCCGTCATTGACTTTTAGTTTAAAGAAAACATGATTTACTGATTGATACTCTCTGAGAATCTCCTTAAGATTAAGATGCTAAGGATTTAAATAGGATTATGAGTTGAGATGATTAAGAAAAAAGTTAATCCTTTAAATTGACATTTCTTTTCAAATATTGTCTCCATCTCGATTTTTTTTCCTTACCTTGTTAAATTGCTGATAATTAATTGATTGTTGATCATTTTATTGTTTCTCTCTCTCTCTCTCTCTCTCTCTCTCTCTCTCTCTCTCTCTCTTCCTCTCCCTCCTTTGTAAGTCAAGGTTGGAAATTAAAGAAACAAAATTAACTGATTGTTATTCTGATGAATAATTAGATTCTTATTAGCAACCGGATTAAAGTTAGTATAATGAATTGGAAGGAAATTGATTGAAATTGAAGAAATTAGACAACAATTAAATATTATAATGATAAAATAATTCCAGGTCAATTAACTACCAACAAAAAAAATTAATTGTTCTAATGAAGATTCTAGTGTGAAAGTAGATTAACAGTTGGCTAATCGTGCAGTAATCAAGGTTAATCCGTTTAATCAAGAGGTGTGTAGTATTATAGTAATCAGAAAACTATATCTATCTAATTAATTAAATTGTAATTAATTTTGATTAAAAGGTGAAAACTTTTCAAACGAAATGAAATCAATGTCAAAATATTTTCATTCAATTGTTTTCAGCCTGGAAAACATTAAGAAGAGATTAGAGCAACTCGGTGAACAGAAAACAAATCTTCGGACTAATCACAATTAACTTTTACAATTTATCATTCTACACACTCTCACTCTCTTTCTCCCTCTCCCTCTCACTCTTACACTTATCATCCCACCAGAACAGGTAAGATGACAAATTGAAGAAACTCCTTTTCATTGAATATTTTACATTAATCTCAACGTGAGTCCCTTTCACTTTTTCACTTATCAACTGGTTTTAACACCAACAATCAAATTGATCAACAATTTAAGTGATTGACAGTTAATGTGTAAATATTTTCAATCAATCAACAATTAAAACTTGATGAGGGGACAGAAAATTTCAAATAATCAGTAAATTCTGATATTTAATCTCATTCTTATTCGTTCAAATTACTTTTTCTTTAATCTTTTCATTTTCTTTTAAAATCTTTTGATCGCTATGGCTTTAAATTCAACCGTTTACCCTAAGGACTGACCCTAAACAGAATAAAACAAATCCAAGTCCGCGAGGCAGTTTCGACACACTGACCAATCGTCTTCCTTATTCTCATGTGCTTTCAACTGATCATCCCCTGTTAATATAAAAGGACTCTGGCCTTGGCCGATCACTTCAGTCTCGTTCCTCGTTGCAACCGATCAGAGAAAATCAATTCAACACCAAGTGTGTGGTGATAATAATTTATCTCTAATTGTTTTTATCGTCGGTTAAATGACAATGTCCTTTTCTCGAATAAGTTCATCAACAATTCATCGACTAAGTAAAACTTTCAACTATTATGTTCACGACTTTTGGGATCACCAGGGTGACCCGAGAATCGCCGACTATCCTTTCTTCAATTCTGGTCCATGGTTAACATTAACTCTCGTCGGTTTATATTTGCTCATCGTTAAGTATTTTGGTCCAATGTGGATGAGAGATCGTAAACCATATGACCTACGTCGTGTTCTGGTCGGTTACAATGCTGCGATGGTCGTTCTCTCAGGTTATCTCTATTATCATGGTTCTATCATGTTATCGTTCGGATTAGATACATGGGGATGTAAGCCCTCCGATCCGAAGGATTTTTCTGATGAAACTTTAGAATTTTTCAGTCTTGGTTGGTTGTTTTTCGTATCCAAGTTGATTGAGTTCGCCGATACTTTTTTCTTTGTTCTGAGGAAGAAAAATTCTCACATTTCCAATCTCCATGTTTTCCATCACTCGACTGTACCAATTTCCGTTTGGATTGGAATGAAGTTCTATCCTGGTGCAAATAACTCGTTCTTTCCTCTTCTCAATTCGGGTGTTCATACGTTCATGTACACTTATTATGGATTAGCTGCTTTCGTCTCTGGTGCCAATGGTTCGTCGTCTTATCCTCGAATCACAAAACTCCTGCGAACAACAAAAAAATACTTGACCACTCTTCAGATCGGTCAGTTTATTCTCGCCATTCTCCATGGACTACATTTCTTAGTTCTGCCCGATTGTGCCTTCCCTAAATCCGCATTAGTCGTTAATCTGGGTAATGCTTTTATCTTTCTCGGACTTTTTTACTCTTTTTATAAAAAATCATATACAAGAAAAACTGACTGACCAATGGTCAGAAAATAATCTAAATAAATTGTTACCCTTATTTTAATCAATTACTTTTCTTACCTTTTGTTCATTTTCTCAGTAATCAAATACTATAATCATACATTGGCTCTAATTAATTAGTTAGCTGGTTAATCGTAGCGCAATTTAGTGCGTTCGTGTGAGCACTCAACTGTTAATCTACTTTCACACTAGAATCTTCATTAGAACAATTAATTTTTTTTGTTGGTAGTTAATTGACCTGGAATTATTTTATCATTATAATATTTAATTGTTGTCTAATTTAATTTCTTCAATTTCAATCAATTTCCTTCCAATTCATTATACTAACTTTAATCCGGTTGCTAATAAGAATCTAATTATTCATCAGAACAACAATCTGTTAATTTTGTTTCTTTAATTTCCAACCTTGACTTACAAAGGAGGGAGAGGAGAGAGAGAGAGAGAGAGAGAAAGTAACAATAAAATGATCAACAATCAATTAATTGTCAGCAATTTAACAAGGTAAGGAAAAAATCGAGATGGAGACAATATTTGAAAAGAAATGTCAATTTAAAGGATTAACTTTTTTCTTAATCATCTCAACTCATAATCCTATTTAAATCCTTAGCATCTTATACCTGAGGACTAGAGTACTCATCATTATCATCTTTATCTTCATCTTCATCATTGTTGACAAGGTTAAATTGTCAACAATTAACAACAATAACTATATGACTTTGAGTATCACTCCAGGGGATTCAATTACAATCAGAAAAACATAAAAAAAATTTCAACGTTGATGACAAAATATATTACATGTTTGGTTACATGATTAAGTTAATTTACAGCAAAATTCAATTAGTTAATTAACACTGATCATCACAATAAATGCTTTTTTAGTCAAGGCTTTTTGTCCAGTAATCAATATATTGTTAAATCAATCAGTTTCGTATGGTCATTAAATTAACTCTGCGAGAAAATGTTGATCAGTCAATTTGAGGGAAATTTATCATCTTAATTGTTATATTATTGAAATAGGAGAAATTAACGGGAAAATGTCAATAATTTACTCCTTAATTTGATTTGTTTACTTCAGTTAAATAACAATCTAATGATTATTTGAACAATTATTCCCTAACAATTTAAGTTAACATCGTTTCCTTGATTTAAGAATTCAATTTTCAGGGAAATTATTAAAATCTAATTGCTGATTGTTGGTGAAAAATTTGCTTTTTTCAACATATTTAGTCAACTGTTTGTAATTAAATTTGACTGTTGTCAAGTTAATGTAATTAGCTTAATTTTCTGGTAAATTGTGCAAACTTTTGTCAATTGAAAAAGGTTAATAAATTGGTTTCTTTTTTTGGTTTAGTTAAATATTTATTAATTGATGACGTTAATTGTTGATTGTTTATCTATCACCTAAATTGCAACAGGCAATTTAACGATGATCATTACTGATTTATTAATATTAATATTAGATCATAATAATAGACAAAGCTTATTGTCAATTCTTGATTGATTAATAACAAATGGACATTGATATTGAGTTTACAATTAGATGAATAAGTTTATGATTAACTAAATGAATCCATGAGGAGTGGCAATTGATCAAATGATTTAAGAAAACAATTTCTCATGAAATCAAATGTTGAACAAATTCTGGAATCACAATCAGACAATTCAGGCCAATCCAAGTTAATTGGCTGATCAGATTTAGTATAAATTGAGATGAATCGTTTATTTTTTTTACAATAATCAACAATATCATCAGCTGATTGTTGAGTTACACCATAACAAGACCTTAAATCAAGTATAATCAAATGAGGTAGAAATGTAATTAGTTCACTAATATGATCATCTTGCAGATTTTGATTGCCTCGTACAGCTAAATGCCTTAAATTGGGAAATTTGGTCAAAAAATTACGCAAAGAAATCCAATTGTGTGAACAATCATATACCTGAATAGAGAAGAGAAACAAAACAATTAACAATAATAAAGAAAGTCTTGACCAATGTTCATTAAAATTCACCGTATATTGGATGACCAAATCACGGAGACAATAATTTTTCACCGATTCATCAAAAAAAACTCCGTTCGAGCCATGGACATTAAAATAAGCGCTGACCAGTGATGGACAAAAGTCGATCAGATGAAAACCAGCATAGATATTCAATCTATCAAATGGTTCCAATGAAATTTCCAGAATTTTAAGATTCTCCAACATTGATCCATTGTAGATGTAATTAGTTTCACCTAAACAATTAACCGATTGAACAATCAAAAGAGAAACTGAATTAGAGTGGAAGAGGAAAGATACAATCTCGACAATTAAGCTAATTACCAGTTGTATCATTGATATGAAGTCTCTGTAAATTGGGTAAATGTCTTACAAATCTTTCTAAATGTCTAAAACTTAAATACCAAATATATAATTGTTTTAATTTAGTTCCACAGTTAATTATTATATCGGTGAAGTAAATTTTTGAATATCTCGTTGCAATCATTTCCAAATTACCACAATAACGAGCCAACACTTTGGTTAGAACTGGATGATAGATTAATCCTTTAATCGACTTTGATTTGGTTAATATATTAACCAAATCTTCATAATTGAATTCATTTTTTCTTGGTACATCAAGAATCTGTAACAATTAAGAAAACAAGAAATCACAATTAGTTTTGGAAACAAGTTAATTGTTCAACTTTACCTTAACATTGGGTAGTAATTGCCAAAAGTTTATATCCTTAAGTGCATCTGATTCACCAAAGTAAATTGTATCCACTGAATAGCTTGAACTTGGAACACCTTAATTGTTTGAATATACAAAATAAATTGATAACAATTAAGTAATTTGGTTGTTACGATGTTGGGAAAATCGCATTTCATTTGATTTAATTGTTTAGAATAATTTTACCTGTTAAATATTTCACATGGAATAAACGTCGATTTATTAAATAGTTCCATCGCGAGCAGACTGTTGATTACAATTAATAGAAGGAAAAAAAATTATGATTAGTTAATTAATTAGAATAATTTAAAAATCAATTGTTGGCATTTTCTTTCACATTTCAAACTAACCGCTTTTCTTTTTTCTCGCTTACAATTGGTTGAGATTTTTTCTTTCTCACCAAATGTAAACAATAACAAAGATAATTAAATGTTAACTTTTTTAATCGTCTAATTAAATTACTTTTACAATTAACTGATTGCTAATTTAGTTTATAGATCAACAGGAATATGTTAATAAATTCATCGGATTCAATGTTAATGTTACACAAACATTTCCACCAACAAATAATTTGAATGATCAGTTAATAGTTTTTTATTTAATTATCTCAAACGATGAACACTTGATCACTTTAACAATCAACTAATCAATTAATCCTGATCAGTATGGTTGTAATATTGGAAACAAGATAATTACCTTCACCACAATTGATTAAATCATCTAAACCATTGATACGTTTGAAAATTAAATACAAACACTCATCGGGTAAGTCATTTAGAAACATTTTCACATCTCTTGTTGATTAATTGATCTAATCAACAGTTGATGATTAATGAAAAATGAATCCAATTGGTCACATTTAATTAACAATTAACGGTGAACAAAAATAATCAGGTAAACAATTCAATGATAATCAACTAAATCCAAAATAATATCAAACCTTTTGTTCAATTTTTTTTCAGTTTACTTGGTTATCTCCTTGGTGATTACAAGTTGAACCTTTTTCCCGGTAATTATCAATTCAATTTAATTCGTTACAATTAACTCCCAAAAACTGTTAACCATAATACTAATCCAGTTTATTTGTGATTGTAATTAGAAATGAACTTAAATTGTGTGTGTTATTTGAATTAATAAAAAAAAGGGAAGAAACTGTTGGTTATATCAACAATTATTAACCTTAATTATTACCTTAGTTTACTTAATTAATCAAAATCATTTCATTTAATCATCGACATCATCAATTTACTAGAATTCAAATTTTCCCCATTGAGTTAACACAGAGACTCATCATAATCACCCAACTTTTTGCTTAATCTTTTGATTAGAATAATCAAACTTATATCAGTTTGAAGAGCACCAAAAATATGACCGGTCAATATACAGAAACAATTAGTTAATTGTATTCACTCAGAGTAATTAACTGAAAACATTGAGTTTTCAGTTAATTTTCAACATAAACAAGATATTCGCACACACCAACCAAATGTTGACCAAGATGTCAAAGGTTATACTTATATATATATTTAGAGAGCTCATGAGATGAACAATTGAATGGTACATGTTACATTTTTCTATCGTCAAAATTGACCGAGTAATGACCGATAATGTTTGGTCCATTTCCATTTCCCATAATTAACGTTTTTCGCTTATTGTAGCTAATCAACATTTCCCATGTAGACCAAACATTATAATTGGTTAAAGGTCATTAAGAAGAAGATAAAATTAAGCTCAATACTTACCCATAATCCTTTGGTCTCTCATACTGGCGCCTTAACCTTTAAACCTAAAACTTACCTTTTCCTTTGTTGATCCTCCTTATGCTCCTAAGCTCTAATCTCATCCATATGCTCATCCAAATTGATCATCTCCTTTGGCGCTTCAATGCTGTTCACTTTCCTTTGTTAATGAAGCAAAGACAAACTCAAACCAACGGTCACTTCAAATTGACCAATAAGGTTAATTTTTACCTTTTCTTTGTAAACGCCTTTCTCACTATTTAAACTCATTTCTTTATTAATAAATAAGTCCAGTTGATGATGTACAAGTAAATGTTAACTTGATTTGACTCTTTGTGTTTTCTTGTTTAATTTAAATCAAGTTTAAGTTGATCAGTTGATCGACATATTTAGTTGATTTAATTTATATTGTGATTAAGTTGGTGAAATCAACAGGTTATGGGCTCAGTCGCTTCTCTTAAATTGTGTTAATCTTTGCGACAAATTTTGTGTGTTTAATTTTTCTCTCTTTCATCATCTCATCAATTACCTTACCAACAATTAATTAATCAACAATTCAACAAAATCATCATGATGGATCATCAAGATATGATTACGATTAAATTATCAAGTGATAATTATTTACACTGGAAAACATATATTCAGGCTGTTCTAGAGTCGAAAGGAGTTTGGGAAATAGCCAATGGCTCATCTTTGTGTCCACTTCCATTTACAGAGGAAGAAATTGAAACTGAATCAGCCGCATCAATCAACAGAAGAAATAAATCAATAAGTGATTGGAAAACAAGTGATGCTACAGCGCGAATGCTTCTCATGAATTCAATGGATAAGGAACATATTAGTTTGGTAATTAATTGTTCAACCTCCAGCGAAATATTCAACTACATTATCGACCACAGAGAAGAGAGGACAACAAATAACGAGTGGACAATTCGGCGTAAGTTGACTGACTTAAGATTTACCTCATCTCACACGGTTACAAGCTATTTTGCTGAATTAGAATCTGTAGTTAAACAAATGAGAGATTTAGGTTATAATGTTGATGACACTCAATTAATGATAAAAGTTCTTGATGACTTACCTCCTAGTTTTCGGTCGTTTCGTCAGATGCTTGAAATTTCCCTTATCTCTGGTATTAATATAAACTTACGAAATTTGAAATCTCAATTATTAATAAATGAAAAGCAAGATGAGCGAGAGAAAAATAATAAACATGGTGATGCTTTAGTTTCGACTAATAATTTCAAAGAAAATCAAAGTAACAATGTGAGAAAATGTTACGGTTGTGGAAGTGCTGATCATTTGCTTCATCAGTGTCCTCAGAATAGGAACAGAAATTTTCAGAGAAACAATAAGTTCAACTCTTATAACAAGAGATCGTTTCATAAGAATAAAAGATTCAATAATAATCGAAATAACAACCGAAACTACAACAATCGAGACAACAACAGTAACAACAACCAAGAAAACAACCGAAATAATAACAACAACAATCAGAATCAAAGTAATAGAAACAGATCGAATCAAAGTAATCATAATCGTGATAATAATTCAAACAGATCAAACAATCAGAACAACAATAACAACAACAATAATAATAATGAAGAAAATTCTGATAATAATTATGTCTCTTTCACTGTCAATGAAAATGAATCAAGTTGCTCTCAATGGTTGTTAGATACAGGAGCAAGTTTTCACATGACAAGTAATATTGAGTATTTTACTCGTTTCCATGAATTAGATGAACCGATTTTATTAACTATCGGCGATGGTAAGAAAATACAAGCGATAGCTAAAGGTGACATTCTTGTTAATTGTTTCAATGGAAACAATTGGATTAATTGTGAACTGACCAATGTTCTCTATGTTCCTAAATTAGGAAATTTTAACTTGTTCTCTTGGGGTCAAACTGTCACCAAAGGTTTTGGATTAAGATCCACATCTAATTCAACTGAAATTTACGATGTTAATTCAGGTAAAACTGTCATGATTGCTAATAGATTTTCAAATACTTTCAAATTAATGATAAAACAAAGAGACAATAAAGATTCATTTTCATTGATATCGAAAGCGACACTTACCGATTGGCATAAGCGACTTGCTCACATTAACGTTTATAAGATTATTCAAATGTCTCGAGATGGTATTTTACCTAAAATAAAAATCGATTATGAACCAAGTAAATTTCACTGCGAGGGTTGTATTAAAGGTAAAATGTGTCGAAAAGTTTACAAGTCAGTAAAAGAGAGAGATGTTAAGACTGGAGAATCTATCCACTGTGACCTCCAGGGTCCAATGTCAGTTAGCTCATTGAACGGAAGTAAATATGCTCTTGTTATTAAAGACGAAAAAAGTTCTTTTCGCGCCATTTACTTCCAGAAACAAAAATCAGAATCTTTTTCTAATCTCGATAAGTTTATTAGATACGCTGAAAAAACGACCGAAAACAAGATAAAGACCATCAGAAGTGATAATGGGAAAGAATTTATTGACATTAGAGTTAAAACTTTACTAGAAAATAAAGATATCGTTCATGAATTAACTGCACCTTATTCACCACAACAAAATGGTAGAATCGAGAGAGAGAACAGAACAATCACTGAATTAGCCAGGTCTATGATGCTCAATAGCAAATTGCCGAAGTTCCTTTGGGCTGAGGCGATGAGTGTGTATGTGTTAAACTTAATTCCGAATAAGAGTCAACAAAATGTTAGCCCTCTTGAACTGTTCACGAAGAAAAAACCGAATTATACTCACCTTAAGACCTTTGGCTGTGTTTGTTATACCAAAATTCCTGATCACTTGAGAAAGAAATGGGATCCAAAGGGAAAGAAAGTTATTTTCCTTGGTTACACCAATACCATCAATAATTATCGCATTTATGATCCATCAACAGGTAAAGTGTCCGTGAGCACTGAAATAAAGTTCAATGAAGAAGATTGTGATGGATCCAAGGTGATTGAAGAAGCTTTTGATGAAGACGAAGTTGATCTCGAATTACTGTGTGGAGAAAATAAAAAACAAGATGATGATAATTTTGATGACAACTCCAGTGACACAACGGAAATAATAGACGATCCACCTGAATCAATTGATGATAATAATTTAATTAATCAAATTGCCTGTCAAGCAGTTATCACTAATCAAGAGCCTTTAACATATGAAGAGGCAATTACTTCTGACGATAATATTAATTGGATCAATGCTATGAAAGATGAAATGAAATCAATTGATGAAAATGATACTTACACTTTAACTGAGTTGCCAAAAGGTAAAAAATGTATTTCCTGTCGTTGGGTTTTTCGCATCAAAAGGAACACCGATGGTTCTATCGAAAGGTATAAGGCCAGGTTGGTGGCCAAGGGCTTTTCTCAAAAGCCAGGAATTGATTATTTTGAAACTTTTTCCCCTGTTGCTCGTTATGATTCAATAAGAGCAATTTTATCAATTTGTGTTGCTCATCGAATGCACATTATGCAGTTCGACATCAAAACTGCTTTTCTTTATGGTGAACTTGATGAAGAAATTTATATGCAGCAACCACCAGGATTTGACGATGGTACCAATAGAGTTATGCTACTAAAGAAGGGACTCTATGGATTAAAACAGGCACCACGTCAATGGAATAAAAAGGTCAACCAGTTTTTCCAATCGATCAATTTTCAACAATCAGAAGCCGATAAGTGTATTTTCATGAATTTCCATGATGGATTAACTATTTGTGTGATTTATGTAGATGATGGTTTGATTGTCAGCTCAAACCAACAACAATTATCATCTTTAATTGACAATTTAAAGAAAACGTTTCAAGTTAAAGTTCATTCCCCTCAAGTATTTGTAGGAATGGAAATTCATCAAAGTTACGATCGTTCATCAATAACAATCAAACAATCATGTTTCATTAACGAGTTATTAAAAAGATTCAACATGAGTGAATGTAAATCAGTGGTAACACCAGGTGACTCGAATCTCAAGCTACAATCAACTAATCAACCACCAGATACAAATTTTCCTTATCAGGAAGCCGTTGGTGCTTTACTTTACCTCTCAATCATCAGTAGACCAGATATCACCTTCCAAGTAAATAAAGCAAGTCAATATAACTGTTGCTACAATGCTACTCATTGGCAAGCGGTCAAACGAATTTTTCGTTACCTTCGAGGAACAATCAACAATGGAATCACCTTCTCATCTACTCGTGACAATTTAGACTTAATTGGATATTGTGACGCCGATTATGCTGCCGACATCGACACAAGAAAATCGACCTCAGGTTTCGTGGTAACTTTAGGAGGTTCACCAGTTTCTTGGGCTTCTCGCTTACAGAAATCAGTTGCTCAATCAACCACTGAGGCCGAATACGTTTCAATTGCAGACTGTGGAAAAGATATACTTTGGTACATACAACTACTTA